TGATATCAAGATGCGGCTCTCCAGCTCCTTGAACAAATACTAATAATCTTAATAAAAATATAACATATTTAAAATAAAAAAAATGTTAGTGGCTCTTTAAAACCAGGGAAATTTTGAAAATTGTAACTTTAGGCTCTTCCGCTACAGAAGGTTGCCGACCCCTGGTATAGCAATATCATAATCAGTTTCCAGCAGGGGTCGGCAACCTTTTGAGACAGAAGAGCCAGAAGTTACAATTTACAAAATGTCCAAGTTTTTAAAGAGCCGCCAACATTTTTATAATATTATTAGTATTTATATTATGATCTTTAATTAGGATACGGTATATATATATATATATATATATATATATATATATATATATATATATATATATATATATATATATATATATGTATATATATATATATGTATATATATATGTATATATATGTATATATATATATATATATATATATATATATATATATATATATATATATATATATATATATATATATATATATATATATATATATATATGTATGTATATATATATATATATGTATATATATATATGTATATATATGTATATATATATATATATATATATATATATATATATATATATATATATATATATATATATATGTATATATATATATATATATATATATATATATATATGTATATATATATATATATATATATAATATATATATATATATATATATATATATATATATATATATATATATATATATATATATATATATATATATATATTAAACAATGTATGTGTGTTTGTGTGTGTGTGTGTCTGTTTTTCTTTTATGCATTACTACACCTTTCATCCGATCGCCATGAAACTTGGGAAAATTGTTAAGAATACTCCTAGGGAGGTTTGTGCATTTTTTTTTATTTCGCAATGGCGGCGCCCCAGGGGGTAGAGGTGCGATTTTTCTCCATATACGATAAAAAAAAGTACATGCGGTTCGACACAGTTTATCCGAGTGCCATGAAACTTTGGAGAGTAGATAAAAATACTCCCGAGAAGATTGTTGCAAAAAAAAATTAAAATTTCTTATGGGCGGCGCCCGGGTGGTGCATTTTTTGTCAATACACGATTTGGCGCCCAGAGTTACAGAGCGGCTATGTTAGTACTTGGCATCCGTTAATCGGGCGTTCTGCATAGCGGGTAAGGGGTACTAATATATTCCGCGGCAAAACTGCAACAGACGCAACCGCCGGCGCCTCGTCCATTGGGCGACCCTGCGAGCAATACAGCGCCTACATTGTTTTTTTAAAGGCTGCGCACTATAGACACGATGGGCAACAATACGTTCATTTTAAACAGCGCGATAGGCTATGGATACAATAGGTTGTTATAAATTGAATTAGGCGCGTCCTTCGGCGTCACTGCACGGTGCGATTTGGCGCCCAGGGCTATCCCGTGAGCACTAAGCGCCTACCTTAGTTTTAAGGAGCACCCTACAATACGACATTCGATAATTAAACCGAGCTAGGGGCTACGCGATCCCCGTCGGTAGTGAAATCGGGTTCACGAGAGCGCCACTTACCGTCGGTGAGTGATTAACGGTGATATTACGGTGAGTGATTAACTTACACTCAAGGCTTTCACGCAGCACGCCATGGTGGTGGGCGCTAGTGCCCCTATAAATATGATCTAAACACAGGCATCTATATATATAATTCTCTTCTTCGAGCCGTTAGAAAACAAGCTGCAAACGCTCTCCCTACCTCCCCACCCCTACATGGTTTTAGTGAGCTGTGTTCACTCTAAATGTTTACAAGCAGAGCCAACGATTTTAAACGTAGGGGGGGAGGAGGGGGGGGGGAGGGAAGGAAGGGGGGGGGGTTATGGTCCTTAACGAGCTACTTATAGTGTTTTAAAGAAATATTTTCAGTGTCAGCGTTGGTACTGTCGAATTCACAAATTATGAATTATTGAAAATTAGAAACAACTAAATAGCGGCGTATGTTATGCCGCGGGCCGGCTCGTTCTTTATATTTAAATAACTCAGTTTTAGGAAGTAGGTCTACATTGAAATATCGAGTCACTAAATATTCTAATAGAATAGCGAGTGTTTACTGTTTATATTTATTATTATATCGTTCATTACTGAGTGTTGCAGACTAATACTTTTATGAGTTTTAAAAATAAAATTTAAAAAATTATTTTTATTTGTTCATCGAGCTGAAGAGCCGCATCTTGACATCAAAAGAGACGCATGCGGCTCGCGAGCCGCAGGTTGCCGACCCCTGGTTTCCAGCATTTTTTTTTTAGCGCAATTTCCATTCTGGAGAATTGCGTTTATTAACTCGTCATTTCTGGGAATGGATGGATGGATGGATGAATGTGTGTCCGGGCTTTAAGTCGTATCTCCTCCTCAACGAAGCAATATCGATGAATAGTTCCAAAAGCAATTATGTTAAGCAAGTTACGAGAATGAGCATAGGCCATAAAAAATCCGGGTTTCTTTCATGTATTTCCCGGAAAAGCCAAAAAACCTCGAAAAAATTCAGTTTTTGGCCCATATCTCGGCAACCAGACCACTTAGCGACTTGAAACATGTACCAATCGATTCCTGTCATAATTTAGAACAATATTGCCGAAGAAAGTTTTCAAAAATATTCTCTCGTTCGGTCACAAATTTTAAAATTACATAAACACCTACAAACCGATTGTTCTTCTAGCTTGAACGCACCCCAACATTATACGTCAGAGCTATTTTTAGATAACATAAGGAAATTGCGCACAAATGTCACTAGACTTTTTTAATTAACTTGTTTGAAAGGTGTCCCTTTATGTTCGGGATCCAAAATTTGTGGTTTTTAGTGTTAGGATGATTCTACAACTATTGCTTATAATCGAATTCGAATATAATATATTATTATAAAGCTACCATATTTATACTTGAAAACAACACCTAAATTTAATTGATAAAATATACTGTTTTGACAAAGTTGCATTAATATAAAAGATTGGTCATAATAATTACGTAATAAAATTTAACACGTTTCATTGTGTTTTTTAAGTATGTCATAATTACACTTGGTTAATTTAGCTATTCTTGTGAAAGCTATTTCCCTTGCATAAAATTATGGCATCTGGATTTCCGAATGGGAGATAATTCGTTGCTTAACTCTACATTCATTTCAAATTCCTCGACCGCTTACTTATAAATACAACTCTAAGTTATTATTTGCTATTGTAAAAAATATAGAGCAGAAGTTATAAACAAAATAGTTTGATAGGTTCTATTTTTGGCTTTATCAAGTTGAAAAACAAATACATCAGTAGCTGTTGTGGATTACTTAATATTAGTAGACATACAGTATAATGCGTCTAAAATCATCTTAGTCGCAAATTAATAATCTAATTAATTTAGTGTCTTTGTCATATTTTCATCCTCATCTAGATCTAGGATTCATATATAACAATTATAGACTGGTATCTATAACATTTAAAGTAAATTTTTCCTTTCAAACCTGACGGTCTATGGGGCAAATGAAGAAGAGTTCACTTGTTTCTGTGACCTCGGCATATGAAGAGATAGTGTGGTCAGCACTATGCCCAGCCGCCTTTACTTTCCCTAACGTGAGTTAGGTACCCATCAGAGTTGGGTGGACTCAGGGACGGTCTACTGACTTGAACCCGGATTCGAACTCGAGACTTACGGGTTAGCAGTCCAGCTCTCTACCGCTAGACCACTTTAACATTTATTAACTTTTAACGAAATAGTCGTTACCTTATCGCACAATATCGACATTTTACATTTATATCTAAAGACAGTCAAGCCTAAAACAGGTAAGTTCCGTTCTGCACAGTAGCGTAGCGAGGGGGGGGGGCGGGGGGGACATATGTCCCCGGGCGCCGACCTTAGGGGGGGCGCCAAATTGAAAGTTTGAGGGGGGGGGGTGCAAATGAAAAGTTCGAGGGGGGGGGTGCAAATCGAAAGTTTGAGGGGGGGGGGGGGGTGCAAATCGAAAATTTGCTCCCAAGGGGGCGCCAAATTGAAAGTATGTCCCCGGGCGCCGGGAAGGGTCGCTACGCCTCTGGTTCTGCAACTCACCTTGGGAGGTCTGCAGAGAGTCCGACACCAAAAAACTGTGTGGGGGGGGGGGTTCAATATTTTTTTAGACTTTTTTCTCCCGGGGTGAGGGGGCAGGGGCTATGTCGTAAAGTAGACTCGCGGACAACAATTTCAATAGAATGTTATTACTTTTCCACACTGGAATTGAAGGAATTAGTACAAGCTTCTGCGACGCAGTAGGCAAGTAAAATTCGATTTTGATGTCTACTTACAACGTGTATGCAATTGATAATAAATTAATATGTCACTTTTAATTAATTGTGTTATTATACATATGTTTTAGTAATTAAAGTGTGTCAAAGGGGGGCGTATTAATAAGTTTTGCATAGAGCTTTGAATAAGCTGGCGCCGGCACTGGTTGTTTAGTCAGTATCTTCCTCACAAGAATTTAAAATGTTACTTTATTATAAAAAATGTCATTGAAAGTCTACTTGTAAGTAATTTAAAAATCAATTTTTGGAGGGTTTGTGTCTATTACCTCATTTCTAAAACAATTACCCAAAATTTAATTTTTATTTTACCAGAAATGCGCTATAATTTAAATTACGTTATATTCAACAAACTTGATGTTATGTCTATAGTTTTTTTTTTCACATTAGATTGAATTTAACTTTACAACATAGCACTTACAGCTTTCTACAGTTTTATTCATAAAAAGCACAACAAAATTAATAGCCAAATTTAATAGCCAAGAATTAAACAAGAACCCGATGACAAAGAGTCTATACCTATCCACACCCACCCTGTGTATTAAACATAATGAACTAAAACACCCAACCTCACTTAAACTATTTTTTAAATCTATCAACATGAAATTTAACCAAAAAAAATCAGTTATACCAGTGGTTATTTTAGGTAAAAAAAAATCAATCGTAAAAAACAAAGGGATGACTGTTTTATTTAGATTGTATTCAAAACCAATGCAAATAAATTTGATAACTATTGAATATCTCCAGACTCATAAGTAAACGATTACGCTTTTGTTAACACCAGTGATAAAATTACAACCTGTGAATGTTTTTATTAACCTGTATTTGAAAAAAACATGTACGTACCTAGATATAAACTAGTAGAATACAGTCTAACACAAAGCGTTCATACCCACAACTGCTGAAATTTGCCTTTGAGTTCAATTTGTATTTTCCCACATGTGTAAAACAAAATGGTTCTAATTTATTCAACACTGGATCAAATATTTAAGAAACAGCTATTTGGTATTACATTGTATGTACATAGAGCTGTCTTGAGCAAATGCGGTGTATTAATTTCATCGAAGTTAAAATACACTTAGAAAAAAGTTCACATAAAATCAGCCTTAGTGATTTTGCTTTCAGATGTTTGCTAAATAATAGTAAGCGAATAATAGAGTTCAGATCAGGCATGTGTGATATTAATATCCTTTTGAATGATTTAAACCGTTTATAAAATTGTGCCTAAATCCACTTCAGTGGAGTAAAAGTTTCTTTAGTATAGTGACAGGAACAACATTTGAACTGTAGCAATCAACTCCACAGTATTTGATGTCTGTAAAGTGTGGTGGAACTTCACACAATGTTTTCTCCTCTGTAGATTCGCTCTCGGATTGATTTTCAAAAATGATCAGTTTACTTTGAAAAGTTAACCCGCCGTACAATCTCTTGGCAAAGTTCCAAAGTTTGGCAAGAAATTTAAATCCAATGTTCCCATTGTCAGATGAATAAAGTATGAGCCACAGACTTCCATTTGTCTGTAAAATGTAGTTGTGCTTGTCGTTTCTGAAGGTAATCAGCTGTTCTGCTGGTCCACCGAGACCGCGTAATCTGGTCCAAATTTTGGACAAAATATCAAATTTGTACACGGATGTTTTGTTTGTACCTTTGTTAGATTCAGAGCAAAATATTAGAAGAAAATGTTCGATAATCGACGCGTGCTTACAATCCACATTTTCTGGGAATTCCGTCATTTTTTCTAGATTTGGGTCAATAGATTTTGGAGTTATCTTATAAATAACTTTATCGTCTTTGTTTAAGATGTAAATAAAGTCTCCATGTGACACCAATAACAAATTGTGACTTGGCATGTCAGCTACTCTCTTCCAGCTGTTGTCAAAGAACACAAACATTCGACAGTCTGGGTTTTGTTCTTCAGTTCCTGTAGCATAAAGTTCACCGTCAAAAGTGACGAGTTGAATGTTCTCTTGTAAATATTCGCATTGTTTCATGTAAAACAGCTCTTCTTTGTCTGCGCTTATTACACTAAAACTCCCGTCAAGTTTAGTATAAACTCCAGTATGTATGTACTCACTACAAGACCTGTGTACAGAAGCTGATGACCACTGACCGTGTTTGAACTTCTGTACATGATAGGACATGGCATCGACGATTATTTCCCTTGACTCTTTATTTTCCGTCATCAAATCCATCTTTAGGACACGAGATAGGACATCAGGACTTACAAGATATGTCCTCACTTCCTTCAACAGCTCAGCTAGTTTATCTTTTCTAGGCGATGTCTCGGTGTTTACAATATCACGTGAGCTACCAGAACGCTCTTGATATTTTTTTCGTTTAGCATTTTCAGAATTTTCCACACTTTCTTTAAGACAAAAATCTTTCACAGTGTCTTTTATTTCGTTTTCATCCACGCTGAAAATAGCTTTTTCATTTTTCAGATCACCATTTTCGAACATGTTTATCTGTCTCTTAGTCGGAGGCTCATACTCTACCCATTTGATGACTGAATCCAGAACTAAATCTTCAACGCTCACAACGAGATCTTGGCTTTTTATCAAATCCTTGACTTCTTTGAAAGACATCAGTAAAAATGTTGGTGAAAGTCGAATTTTCTCGAAGTTTTTCAACATGAACAAATGAAACTGATCAAGACATCTTTTTGAGCTTAATTCTGAAGCTGTTTCATAAATTTTCTCCCAAGTTTCCATGGTGATAGCTTCAATAGCAAACTTTTCGCATAAATCGACTAAAAACATTACTTGCAGCTTATTCGCTGCCCTCCATATGTTGGTGTAGTTCTCTGATGTTAAATCTATCTGACCACTGTACAGCGCGCTGAGAATCTTCTGGAAAACCTCGCTAGAGACATCTTGCAGCACGACACTGTTCTCTGTGGCTTCTCTCAACCCGGAACTAAAAAGTGCCTGGAAAAATTCCGAGCAGGCCGCCAGAACAAGGCGGTGGCATCTGAAGCTTGTCTCACCCACCACAACAGTGAAGTCCAAGAACAGTTTGTCTTCCTGTAAGTTCCCCAGACACTGGACTATGCTGCTGCAGGTTTTCGAATTGCTCATGGTGACAAAGAGCCTTAAAAAAATGAAAAAAAAAATGAGAAACAAAATGAGATACAAAATGAGAAAAAAAAAGAGAAAAAAAAATTATCTCGCATATACCATGTAGCTGTAAGTCCCGGATTCTTTTGAACATAATGTCTCTGATTCAACTCAGCTCTGATGGGTACCTTTACTCACGTTGGGGATTGAAGTGAAGGTGGTTGAGCATAATGCTGAACAAACATATGCAGAAAAGGGGGAAACTCTACTTCACCTGCTCCACGTACTGAAAGGGTACTGTACACAATATCCTAAAAACATTCGACTTCTCAAAATAGATATCAGGATGTATAGATTTGATTTATAGACATAAAACTCCATTTGTTCTTTTTCTTCTTAATTGAAATGTTAGAAGGGATCCCCTCCAACACAATTAAGTATACTTGTTAACTGGTTATGCGCCATTGGCAGTTGACTCCGATTTCAGCCTGCTTTTCTTTCTCGATTTGCTTCCATAGCCTTTGTCCATCCAAGAATACAATACAAGGCAGCAGTTGTTTGATTTTGGAGTTTTCTTTCCCCATCTCCCCGGGACAGAGGCGTAGCGAGGGGGGGGGGGGCGGGAGGAGGACATATGTCCCCTGGCGCCGACCTTAGGATCGCTACGCCTCTGCCCCGGGAAAACCCCATTTGAATGAAAACGAAATTCCAAAGTTGTTCAATATTGTCTATGACTTATCTTAGAACTTCTCAATTTAACAAAAGGAAACGTGTGTTAAATTTGATAAAAGGATAACATTTCAGACATAATTTTTTAACTCATTTTTAAACTCATTTTTCTGCCTGATTATTAGATGCATTTAAAGTGTGTACTATGTACACGCTACTAATTGACTAGTACAATAGATGGTCTTTGACAATATTACAAGTTGAATATGTTTATAAATAGACCTACCTTCCTTTATCTTTAGAATGATTTTTTTTATTTCATTAGAATTATAGATCTAGTAAGATAGGAGGTAGGAAAGATGTGTATATTATGCAAACTTGAATTAAATGTGTTTATTTGGTGCGATGCTAAAACACATTCTTCTAATTACAGTGCGCAAAATTAAATTAATTTTAAACTTTGTAAATGAGAAAAAAAAATGTGGAATTATTTTTAAAGATACGAATAGGTTATTACGGTACGTATGGAAGGTACTGCAGCCCTATAGTGACGAAATAAGGGATAGAGAAAAAAAAACCCGTTTTAAGATCATGATGAATTAATTTATATTGAAAAGTAAATACACAAACACTCATACATAGCCATCGTTACTATTCTTTATTCTATAAACTCCATCTATAACAATAAAAATAACATTGAGGGTATGATGTATAATAGTCAGTGGCGTATGCAGGGGGGGGGGGGGGGTTAGGGGGGTCATAACCCCCCTCCCATAGACCTCTCGGTATATATATAAAGTATGGGGGGGGGGGGTGCAAATCGAAAGTTTGAGGGGGGGGATACACATCGAAAGTTTGTCCCCGGGTAAAAATTGGAACCCCCCCCCCCCCTTGAGACGATCCTGGCTACGCCACTGACAATAGTGTGATATATAGAATGTGGATGAAACATGATTGGAAATAGGAGTATAGTAGAAAATCAACATATTTTAAAACCTGCTACTTGACAAAATAAATAGCAAGTAATTAAACTGTGTTCAATTTATAGAGGAAATAAATAAATACTACTATTTTTAATCTAGTAATGTGTTTACGAATAATAAAACTTAATAAGCCTTCAACAACAAAAAAACAATTGGTCAAAAAGATGTCTTTCATCAATCAATGTAATGATTTTATTATTGAAACCACCTTCACAATCTATTCCCTACTTGTTACAGAGCTTCTGTTCATTTTCCTTAGCTTAAAAGTCACAACATAGACAAAACTTTTTAGTTATACAAATCATGATGTAGTATTCATCATAATTAACAAATACGCCTTGTGATGAAAGGTGAATTATCTTAATTTAACAATCGAGATATTGTCATGTTTTAGTAGCAAAACTTTTTTGAAGTGATATTTAAACCATTCTTACTCCAGCACACATCTCATAACACAAACTTCAACGCTAGAACCATATGCATACATATATACATATATATATATATATATATATATATATATATATATATATATATATATATATATATATATATATATATATATATATATATATATATATTTATTTATTTATTTATTTATTTATATATAATGTAGCTATAAATAAACTACACATCCCATTAGTAAACGAATTATAAACTGGTTATTTTTATCATTTTTTAAAAACTAGTGAGTGCTTTATAAAATCTTTAAATAATGTGTTGTGTTGACCAGCATACGATCTTGTTTTCGAAAAATTCCGGGAACAGATTTACTTGTTGTGATCTAGATGACCTTGACCCCTGCCATGTGATCTAGATGACCTTGACCCCTGCCACGTACACACTGACAATATTTCGATCGTCACCTGATAATAGATCAAACAATTCGAATTAACTTGGGGCTGAAACAAAGAAAAGACTGCACAAACATTAAATAGAAGGTTGATAAAAACATTTGAATTGCACCCACATGTATGATACAAACAGTGGCGTAGCCAGGATAGTCTCAAGGGGGGGGGGGGGGGGTCCAATTTTTACCCGGGGACAAACTTTTGATTTGCACCCCCCCCCCCCTCAAACTTTCGATTTGCACCCCCCCCCCCTCAAACTTTCGATTTGCACACCCCCCCTCAAACTTTCGATTTGCACCCCCCCCCATCAAACTTTCGATTTGCAACCCCCCCCCCCCTCAAACTTTCGATTTGCACCCCCCCTCATACTTTATATATATATATATATATATATATATATATATATATATATATATATATATATATATATATATATATATATATATATATATATATATATATATATACCGAGAGGTCTATGGGGGGGGTGGGGCGGGTTATGACCCCCCCCCCCTAACCCCCCTGCCTACGCCACTGGATACAAAGTTCCACGATTTTGTACATTAGCCTTTTGACTTTTATTGTTTTACTCTCCCTGGCCATTCCGGTAGACTTCAAGGAGAGGTTGAGGGCAGTTTTAAAAAATATATGAATTGATAAAATAATTCTAAACGACTTTTCAACGACTTATATTCGATACAAAAATATAAAAATGCGTGTAATCGATGGTTTCCCCAACGGCTTTAATTTTTACAAATGTAACTATAATTTTATCGCTTGCCATATTTTTTTAAAGCTTTTTTTTTAATTTACTATGATTACATACTTTTCCTACCTATTACCTTTTACATTTAACAAGCTTTATCATCATCATAAAAGTCAACACTCACCTATAAAAATAAATTTCTGTATAATGTCTTCTAGGGAGTCGGTGTTAAAAATGTCGAATGGGGAATTATGAACTTCAGGGTCGATAACTAGAGCATCAAATTCTTTCCCGACTTCAAAGTTCCCTAGCTTGTCATCAAGGCCCATAACTGGAGTAAAATCATAAATCTATTATGTTCGTTTCAACGGTAATAACTCAATAAGAAATAACAATAAAATTAGTCGATTCATAAACGGATGCTGCAGAATTTTTTCTTATATTTGTTATCATTTATGTTTTGAAAAGTTCTGTTATTAACTATTGTAAATATTTGATTTTCAAGACCAATGGTCGTAGCTTTAAAAAAAAAAATTGTATTGACTTGAAAATGATTTAGTAACGTTAACATAAATGCCATCATAATTTGTTTCCCTACATAGAAAATGCTTCACTGTCCCATTGACCCTCTCTGAAAAATTTCCTTTCCTCTCCCCACCCGGACTCCTGACACTTTCATTTGACCTTCACCCCTTTTACTGTCATCCTTTTTAATTTTTTTTTGTTATAATCATATACATGACATCATGTAAATATTCATTATGTACATTTGCTAAAAAAAAAATAAAAAATTAGACGTTTTGTATTATATATAAGAAATCCATCTTAGATAAATGAAAGAACATGTCAGAGAGGAGTATTACTGTATCAGTCCTCACAAGCCGATGATGAAAACTTTAATAACTTCCTCCATTCAACAAAACAATAACTAACAAGATTATAACAACAAAACCTTCACTGCTGCCTAGTGTAGCCATGCGGAACAAATCCTTGTACGTGACGTCATTTGCCTCTCCCCCTGGGTCGTGGGCAGGACCAGTCAGGTTGGCGGCGCCCGTCCCCCGTCTTATGGCGTCTAACATGGAGGTACTGTGACCACCGGCAAAATCTTGGGGGACATTAGTATAGGAATGTTAGGACATTTAGAGGACATTAGTGGAGAAATGTTAGAACATTTAGAGGACATTAGTAGAGGAATGTTAGGACATTAGTAGAGGACATTAATGGAGGAATGTTAGGACATTTAGAGGACATTAGTAGAGGAATGTTAGGACATTTTAGAGGACATTAGTAGAGGAATGTTAGGACATTAGTAGAGGAAATTAATGGAGGAATGTTAGGACATTTAGAGGACATTAGTAGAGGAATGTTAGGACATTTTAGAGGACATTAGTAGAGGAATGTTAGGACATTTAGAGGACATTTGTAGAGGAATGTTAGGACATTTAGAGGACATTAGTAGAGGAATGTTAGGACATTTAGAGGACATTAGTAGAGGAATGTTAGGACATTATAGAGGACATTAGTAGAGGAATGTTAGGACATTTAGAGGACATTAATAGAGGAATGTTAGGACATTTTAGAGGACATTAGTAGAGGAATGTTAGGACATTTGGAGGATAGTATTAGAGAACTATTAGGGCATTTTAGAGGACATTATTAGAGTAATGTCAGGACATTTTAAAGGACATTAATTAAGGAATGTCAGGACATTTTAGAGGATATTAAAAAAGAAACACCAGGACATTTTAGGGACAGTAAGGACATTAATAGAATAAATATCAGGAAATTGTATAAAGAGTAGGGAAATTTATAATAGGACTTTGGACAATTTTGGGGAGAAAACAAGTACACCCTCACACATCTTGTTCAACTGATCTATATCTGCCCAGCTACCGATCTACAAATCAATCCAGTTATTTAAGTCATAACCCTGGATCAAACTGTAGAACGGACAACTTTTACCTGAAGGTTACACTTACCTGTGGAGAGTCCAATCTTGATGCCTCTTTCTGTTACTCTTCTTATGTTGAGCTGACCACTACTTAAACTGACAACATTTAACAAGATCATTGTTAGTTATATCGTTTATAACGAGATAATTGATGTTAATTCGCTAATTTGTACCCTTTCACAACGATTTAAAAAAGTTACCATTATTGCTAACAAAAATATTTTATTAGTTCTACTTCCAACCTTGTACTGCTTAACTATTTTTTTTTAAATCATCAAACTTTTCAGCTATGCCTCTCCCAACCTACATCTAGATTGAGTTATTGTGCAAGTTGCAAGCTTAATATAAATAAGTGTTAATTAAAAGAACTCTTTCTTTGCATTTTTGAAATGTCAAAAATATATATTTTACAATAAACTAGACTCTAGAGAAACAAAATAAGTGTACACCAAGTACATGAGACAGAGTTGTGACAATAGCGGGTACCTGGTGTTAGAGTTGTGACAGTGGCGGGTACCTGGTGTTAGAGTTGTGACAGTGGTGGGTACCTGGTGTTAGAGTTGTGACAGTGGCGGGTACCTGGTGTTAGAGTGGCGGGTACCTGGTGTTAGAGTTGTGACAGTGGCGGGTACCTGGTGTTAGAGTGGCGGGTACCTGGTGTTAGAGTTGAGACAGTGGCGGGTACCTAGTGTTAGAGTGGCGGATACCTGGTGTTAGAGTTGAGACAGTGGCGGGTACCTGGTGTTAGAGTGGCGGATACCTGGTGTTAGAGTTGAGACAGTGGCGGGTACCTGGTGTTAGAGTTGTGACAGTGGCGGGTACCTGGTGTAAGAGTGGCGGGTACCTGGTGTTAGAGTTGGGACAGTGGCGGGTACCTGGTGTTAGAGTTGAGACAGTGGCGGGTACCTGGTGTTAGAGTTGGGACAGTGGTGGGTGCCTGGTGTTAGAGTGGCGGGTACCTGATGTTAGAGTGGCGGGTACCTGGTGTTAGAGTTGGGACAGTGGTGGGTGCCTGGTGTTAGAGTTGTGACAGTGGCGGGTACCTGGTGTTAGAGTTGTGACAGTGGCGAGTACCTGGTGTTAGAGTGGCGGGTACCTGGTGTTAGAGTGGCGGGTACCTGGTGTTAGAGTTGGGACAGTGGCGGGTACCTGGTGTTAGAGTTGAGACAGTGGCGGGTACCTGGTGTTAGAGTTGGGACAGTGGCGGGTACCTGGTGTTAGAGTTGAGACAGTGGCGGGTACCTGGTATTAGAGTTGGGACAGTGGCGGGTACCTAGTGTTAGAGTTGGGACAGTGGCGGGTACCTGGTGTTAGAGTTGGGACAGTGGCGGGTACCTGGTGTTAGAGTTGGGACAGTGGCGGGTACCTGGTGTTACAGTGTCGGGTACCTGGTGTAAGAGTGGCGGGTACCTGGTGTTAGAGTGGCGGATACCTGGTGTTAGAGTTGAGACAGTGGCGGGTACCTGGTGTTAGAGTGGCGGATACCTGGTGTTAGAGTTGAGACAGTGGCGGGTACCTAGTGTTAGAGTTGTTACAGTCGCGGGTACCTGGTGTTAGAGTTGAGACAGTGGCGGGTACCTGGTGTTAAAGTTGGGACAGTGGCGGGTCCCTGGTGTAAGAGTGGCGGGTACCTGGTGTTAGAGTGGCGGGTACCTGGTGTTAGAGTTGGGACAGTGGTGGGTGCCTGGTGTTAGAGTGGCGGGTACCTGGTGTTAGAGTGGCGGGTACCTGGTGTTAGAGTTGGGACAGTGGTGGGTGCCTGGTGTTAGAGTTGTGACAGTGGCGGGTACCTAGTGTTAGAGTTGGGACAGTGGCGGGTACCTGGTGTTAGAGTTGTGACAGTGGCGGGTACCTGGTGTTAGATTTGTGACAGTGGCGGGTACCTGGTGTTAGAGTTGTGACAGTGGCGGGTACCTGGTGTTAGAGTTGTGACAGTGGCGGGTACCTGGTGTTAGAGTGGCGGGTACCTGGTGTTAGAGTTGAGACAGTGGCGGGTACCTGGTGTTAGAGTTGGGACAGTTGCGGGTACCTAGTGTTAGAGTGGCGGATACCTGGTGTTAGAGTTGAGACAGTGGCGGGTACCTGGTGTTAGAGTGGCGGGTACCTGGTGTTAGAGTTGAGACAATGGCGGGTACCTGGTGTTAGAGTTGGGACAGTGGCGGGTACCTAGTGTTAGAGTGGCGGGTACCTGGTGTTAGAGTTGTGACAGTGGCGGGTACCTGGTGTTAGAGTTGTGACAGTGGCGGGTACCTGGTGTTAGAGTTGAGACAGTGGCGGGTACCTAGTGTTAGAGTTGGGACAGTGGCGGGTACCTGGTGTTAGAGTGGCGGGTCCCTGGTGTAAGAGTGGCGGGTACCTGGTGTTAGAGTGGCGGGTACCTGGTGTTAGAGTTGGGACAGTGGCGGGTACCTGGTGTTAGAGTGGCGGGTACCTGATGTTAGAGTTGGGACAGTGGCTGGTACCTGGTGTTAGAGTTGGGACAGTGGCTGGTACCTGGTGTTAGAGTTGAGACAGTGGCGGGTACCTGGTGTTAGAGTTGTGATAGTGGCGGGTACCTGGTGTTAGAGTTAGGACAGTGGCGGGTACCTGGTGTTAGAGTTAGGACAGTGGCGGGTACCTGGTGTTAGAGTTGGGACAGTGGCGGGTACCTGGTGTTAGAGTTGGGAGAGTGGCGGTTACCTGGTGTTAGAGTTGGGACAGTGGCGGGTACCTGGTGTTAGAGTTGGGATAGTGGCGGGTACCTGGTGTTAGAGTTGGGACAGTGGCTGGTACCTGGTGTTAGAGTTGAGACAGTGGCGGGTACCTGGTGTTAGAGTTGTGATAGTGGCGGTTACCTGGTGTTAGAGTTAGGACAGTGGCGGGTACCTGGTGTTAGAGTTAGGACAGTGGCGGGTACCTGGTGTTACAGTGGCGGGTACCTGGTGTTAGAGTGGCGGGTACCTGGTGTTAGAGTGGCGGGTACCTGGTGTTAGAGTGGCGGGTACCTGGTGTTAGAGTGGCGGGTACCTGGTGTTAGAGTGGCGGGTACCTGGTGTTAGAGTGGTGGGTACCTGGTGTTAGAGTGGTGGGTACCTGGTGTTAGAGTGGCGGGTACCTGGTGTTAGAGTGGCGGGTACCTGGTGTTAGAGTGGCGGGTACCTGGTGTTAGAGTGGCGGGTACCTGGTGTTACAGTGGCGGGTACCTGGTGTTAGAGTGGCGGGTACCTGGTGTTAGAGTTGTGACAGTAGTGGGTACCTGGTGTTAGAGTTGGGACAGTGGCGGGTACCTGGTGTTAGAGTTGTGACAGTGGTGGGTACCTGGTGTTAGAGTTGGGACAGTGGTGGGTACCTGGTGTTAGAGTTGTGACAGTGGTGGGTACCTGGTGTTAGAGTTGTGACAGTGGTGGGTACCTGGTGTTAGAGTTGGGACAGTGGTGGGTACCTGGTGTTAGAGTTGGGACAGTGGCGGGTACCTTGTGTTAGAGTTGGGACAGTGGCGGGTACCTGGTGTTAGAGTTGTGACAGTGGCGGGTACCTGGTGTTACAGTGGCGGGTACCTGGTGTTAGAGTTGGGACAGAGGCGGGTACCTGGTGTTACAGTGGCGGGTACCTGGTGTTAGAGTGGCGGGTACCTGGTGTTAGAGTGGCGGGTACCTGGTGTTAGAGTGGCGGGTACCTGGTGTTAGAGTGGCGGGTACCTGGTGTTAGAGTGGTGGGTACCTGGTGTTAGAGTGGTGGGTACCTGGTGTTAGAGTGGCGGGTACCTGGTGTTACAGTGGCGGGTACCTGGTGTTAGAGTGGCGGGTACCTGGTGTTAGAGTTGTGACAGTAGTGGGTACCTGGTGTTAGAGTTGGGACAGTGGCGGGTACCTGGTGTTAGAGTGGTGGGTACCTGATGTTAGAGTGGCGGGAACCTAGTGTTACAGTGGCGGGTACCTGGTGTTAGAGTGGCGGGTACCTGGTGTTAGAGTTGTTACAGTTGCGGGTACCTGGTGTTAGAGTTGGGACAGTGGCAGATCCCAGAACCTGTCTGCTTGATGAGATCCAGTTCAGCGTCAGTCAGATGAATTCCATGTGCCAACAGAGTCTGAAATTATCAGGTCTGTATACAGAACATTCATGAAAGTGTCTAGTTTTGCTTATATCTAGTGTACTCTAAGGATCAATTTCTACAGAACATTTTATAGACTTATTTTAAATACGTGTCAAATTTATCTAATGTTTAATACAGGTCTATTATTTTATACTATTAACTAAAATCTCAAAAACAAATACGTTGACTATTAGTGTTAATCCTTAACTAATAAGCAACGTTCATGGTAATATTTTTTATGTGATTGAGAAAATAAGTCTTAAACCCAGCCAGTGAATACTGTAACAACATTCTAAAGCCATAACGCTCTAATATTGAGACTGTTAGAAATCTATAACTGTACGTTGAGCACTTAGTGCCGGCACATCTAACCACAGCTTCAAGAACAGCGAGTGACCACGCTGAACCCTACATCAAAGTATTCTGACGACCTGTGTCTAGAAAAGAAAATGTAAACACCTTGCGTCCTAGAAGTCCTGCGGCCTGGTACACCTGGGTGTAGGACTGGCAGTGGGGGAAAAGTTTCTTAACGAATCTTACTTCATCCAGGTTCTCGCTCACGTGAGTCTGGAAGAGATTTCAAAGTTTGGAATTATCAGGTTCAAGGTCTTGAATTTATCAGGTTTAAGGTCTGGAATTTGATCTAAAATGATTGGCACCCGATTCTGGAACTATTTAGAATCTTAAGAGTAAATTTAATTAGACGTAGTCTAAAAAAATATTGTATTAAAAAAATTAGAAATAATTATCTTAAAAAATTGAATTAAAAATCTGGAATTACTGTCATGTGTGTAAAAAGTCTCTAGCATTAAGTTTAAAATACTTAAAAGATCAAAAGTTCTAAAGCTAAAAAAAAACATTTTTACCTAAATTGATCTTAGACATTTGACTACAACTGAAATCCATGTTACCGTTCCATACCTGAATGATTGTGTTAAAAACTGTCACTCACCTGTATAGGTAGGTTGTATTGCCTGGCCAGGTGTGCTAGTGACGTCATCAGCTCCATGGAACACGACACGGCAAACCTCGGTGTAACACACGGTGTTATCAAAGGGTTCTGCAACAAAGTAGAGGGTATTTAACAAAGGGTTCTTTAACAAAGCTCAGGGTATTTAACAAAGGGTTCTTTAACATAGAACACGGCATTTACCTGAGTAGAGGACATTTATTGAATGAATCTTCAACATTTGGTTTCTAATTTTTACTACTCGTTTTAGAACCACGAGCTAAATTAGTATAATCAGTTACTATAGTAACGGTTTATTCAAAATGTTACTAGGAATTTCTTAATTTTTTACTTTTCAGTTTCAGGGCTTATGGTTTCTCAATTTGGTTTATATGGGGTGGTCTATGAAATTGTTACAAACGTTATATGGGGTGCGCTATGAAATTGTTACAAACGTTATATGGGGTGCGCTATGACATTGTTACACAGCGTTATATGGGGTGGTGTAGTAGGATAGATATTTGTGTTACACAATGTGTCCACTGAGCATAACCGAGTACAGGGCATAAAAGTACTGTTGTTAGTTGCTGAAACATCACGTGGACAACTTTCATTGTAGGGGTCTATGGGTTGAGTTTCTACCACCCTCCTACCCCCAACCCCTAACGGCCTACGCCATTGGAACTGTAAAAAAATTCAAGTTTCTAACACTTTGCTATAGATTGAACCTTACCTCAAGTGCTAACACATCTTGAATAAATCTGAAAAAATGAAAATATATCAAAACAAATTTACCTTTAAATTGTTTATGTTCGGGATTTTTTTTTCAAGCATATAACCTAACTATTATATTGATGACTTTGTATTTCGTCTTAACACAAAGCACAAAAGATATCTTATTTCTGCCTAGATTTGTAAAAAAAAAATTAGCATATCTTTGTTGAAACAAAGAAGTAAGCCTAGTAAAAATAAAGTAAAAAATAGAAAAAACAAATATTGTTTAAACAAAACAAAAAACTTTTCAACAACAAAAATTGTAATAAACTTTAAAATCGTAACAAACTTTGAAATTGTAACAAAAATTTTAATTGTAACAAATTTGGTATAAAAACAAAAAAAAGAATTTGACGCTATTGAACTCACTTCTCAGTGTCGTTTATTGATGCTTGACGCTCTTCAACATAACCCGCCCCGCCATTCTGATCCATGTTCACCTTCCCGATATAGGCTCTTTGGCCTGTACGGGCTAGAAATATTTTACACTCGTCAATAAACCATACATTTTTCTAACACAACACACTGACCTGTGTTTTTTTATATATATTTATGACGTTTCCTACCCCCCCCCCCCCCCCACCCGATGAAGCTCGAATAAAACTGCTGCAACATGTAGCAGAAAGTGTTAGAACCCCACCATATAACCAAACGTACTCGCAAAGTCAGACTTCCAAACCCTTCCACATTGCAATTTTTCTGTATTAAAAAGTGTTTTTTTTAAATGATCATTTTTAGGTAAAATTCATTTTAATAAAAAATGTAAAAAATAGCTTAAAATTCGCTTTTAAAATGATAGGTCTAATTACATTTAATGATTTTAAAAATAAAACTAAATATTTAAAAAAAAATTAAATATCGTAGCTTAATTTTTTTTTAAATAATTACTTTTTAAAATGCTAAACTGAGACGCCGCCACACTTTCCTAACCACCCCCTCCCCATCTTCACACATCACTTAAAACCACCCCACCCACCCCCGCTCACACCAGGATTATGACGTCATTAATAAACGACCCCCCCACCCCCTCAACACCTATCAGCACACTGCACCATCCACCTACCGACAGCATCAACCAGCAACATGGTAGACTCGCGGTCTATGGTGGCGTAGTAGCAGATGGTGGTGGTGCCATTCTTCAGGGTTCGAGCCTAGTCAGACAGATAGGTTTGGATTCGATTCTTTCCTATGATCATCTACGCACAAATAGAGTTAAGCGACAACGACATTACATACAAACAACACAAACTGAAGCACATAACACGTATATAACACGTATATCATAACTACTTAGCTACGGCTCCACGCACAAATCATATTACACACTCATCGCTTTATAGATTTTCATTTCATACACTGGTCACACAACACTACACTCGCCCATCACACACAAACCACACCACACACCAGCCACAACAACCACACCACACACCAGCCACAACAACCACACCACACACCAGCCACAACAACCACACCACACACCAGCCACAAAAACCACACCACACACTAGTCACACCAGAGACCCACCACATCACACACCAACCACACCACACACCAACCAACCCACACGCCACACACCAACCACACCACACACCAACCACACCACACACCAACCACACCTCACACCAACCACACCACACCACACACCAACCACACCACACACCAACCACACCAGAGACCCACCACATCACACACCAACCACACCACACACCAACCAACCCACACGCCACACACCAACCACACCACAAACCAACCACAACAAACCAAAAAACCACACACCAACCACACCACACACCAACCAACCCACACACCAACCAACACACCAACCAACCCACACACCACACACCAACCACACCACACACCAACCACACTACACACCAACCACACCACACACCAACCACACCGCACACCAACCACATACACACACGAACCACACCACACACTTACCACAACAAACCAAAAAAAACACACACCAACCACACCACACACCAACCAACCCACACACCACACACCAACCACACCACACACCAACCACACCACACACCAACCACACCTCACACCAACCACACCACACCACACACCAACCACACCAGAGACCCACCACATCACACACCAACCACACCACACACCAACCAACCCACACGCCACACACCAACCACACCACAAACCAACCACAACAAACCAAAAAACCACACACCAACCACACCACACACCACACACCAACCACACCACACACCAACCAACCCACACACCACACACCAACCACACCACACACCAACCACACCACACACCAACCACACCGCACACCAACCACATACACACACCAACCACACCACACACTTACCACAACAAACCAAAAAAAACACACACCAACCACATCACACACCAACCAACCCACACACCACACACCAACCACACCACACACTAACCACACCGCACACCAACCACATACACATACCAACCACACCGCACACCAATCACAACAAACCAAAAAAACCACACACCAACCATAATAACCATACACCAACCGTACCACACAACCACACCAACCACACCACCTACCACACAACGACTGTAGACCTGATTGGCAAACCCCTGGTCTCGACTAAAACGAGACTCCGTAGGGAAAGTGTATCTTTTTAGCCACGACATGAGGGGCTGGTCACTCCCCGTCCCCACAAAAGAATACTGGGCAGCGTGGGCGTGGCAATCCACAAACCCAGGCATGAGAAATCTGTAATGACATACTTAGACAAACAGGTAGGTGTTGGCTATAAAGTATGTTAATTATGACGGAGTAATGCAAAATTTTGTAATAGATCCATTCGCATTAACTTTGTTCAACAATGTTTTTATCGAAATTTTCTTTGAAGAAATTTTTAAAATAATCCATTAAAATAAATTTTAAGTATAGAACAATTTTGGGGGAATAGTTACAGGACATTTTATATATTTGCAGACAGATACACAGAGAGAACCACAGACATACCAGAGTTTCTTTCAGGCATCTCTTCATGGGAGCATTGCCGCCACCCCCACACCGAAGCACGTCTACCACCCCCACACCCACCCACAAACTTTTACCAGTGTCCGCCACCTCATCCCCCTCCCACCCCCACAAAAATCTTAAGTGACTCCCCCCCCCCCCCCGGAGAAAAAAAGTCTGAAAGGAACACCTTACTGCCACTTACTTGTTTCCGAGATCAACGACAGCATCACGTGGTATGCCAAACTTCTCTAAACATTCCGTCAGTTTATCTTTGGGCTCCACAAAAACAATCTGGAATGTTCGACTACTTTAATGTACGTCGTTTTCAGACACCTCATACAATTTTTCTTACAGGAAGAATACGGCCATATATGACGTCACGTGGCTAGCTCTTAGATAGTTGTTTAACGTTAATTTAGCTAATGAGCCCGTAAATGTGCTTAAAAAATGGACTAATACGTGATTTTTTTTCGTTTGTAGTTGTCCTTACTTTTTACAAGCTTTTATTTAACTCACTTCCTCGTCAGTCTGTCGTCAGTCGTCAGTCTAGATCGAAACGCAGGAGTGAAAATTCGGACAGTTCTACTTGACCGATACGATTCACAGTTGGCACGTGGGTCAAGACATGAAGACAATGCAATCTGAAACTAAATTTGACTTAATTGGATGCCTAATTAATTTTTTATGAATTAATTAAAATTTGGACCGAATTGGTAGGCATGTCTATCCAACCACACCACACGCGTCATCACGTTCAATAGCTGCGCCATCGGGTTTATAATAGCTGCGCCATCACGTTTAATAGACGCGCAATGGTTTTTAGTCATGTAACACTATTGTAAATAAAACATGTAAAGTACTGAAAAAAAATTTCATAAAAAACGTTTTAATAACAAGCTTTTATGTAATGATGCACTAAAAAGTAGAAAATAAATTATACACTACTATTTAAATTACTATAAAGAAAAGCGTGGGTCTCTTCTCAAATATTAGTAAAGGTATCCAATAGGTACTAAAGTACTAAAGTGACCCACGCTTTTCTTTATAGTAATTTAAATAGTAGTGTATAATTTATTTTCTACTTTTTAGTGCATTAGTAATAAAAGCTTGTTATTAAAACGTTTTTTAATGAATTTTTTTAACGTACTTACAGACAGGCTATTAAAACCTATGTGATATAAAAAAAACTACATGATATAAAAACCTACATGATATAAAAACCTACAGGTTGCTGTAACATCCATGTTGTAAAGACCTACAGCTTAAAGGGTTATAGAGAATTACAGGTCTAAGTGACCTACAGATGACCTACAAATGACCTATAGATGACCTACCTTGTCCTGCTTTACCCCCAGTACATGATCTTTTAATATCACCATGCTCTTCTCTCTAGTCGCATGCACCAAATTCCCATAAAACACTAGATAGGCCATTTTTGTGGGAGGTTTTTTTTACATCTATAATTTACAACACAAAAAGAATAAACTATGCTATCTCAAACCATAAACTTCAACTCAGAAACCAAGCAATAGCAATACTATTTTTCATGAACTATTTCTTACTTGCTAGGTAGGAGAAAAATTATATTATAGTATATAACAGTATAGTGATATACCACGAATAATCAATTACTCACAGAACTTGTGTACGCTCTATATGAGAACTAACCATAACACAGCCAAATGTGAAGCTACCTCGGTTGGTCCAGCTTTGGCTTTATGTCCTGACTTGGCGTTTCGTCACCAACTGATCTGGCAACAAGTGTGTTCTGACACTACTAAAAGGTTCTAAAATTTGTTTAAGTTACTACTCGTGTACAGTGGCGTAGCGAGGTCGGGTGTCACCCGGTGCGGCACTTAATGGTGTCACCCCCCCCCAGAGGCATAGAGACCCTTCCCAGGGACAAACTTTCAAACTTTCGATTTGCACCCCCCCCCCTCAAGTTTTCGATTTGCACCCCCCCCCCCCCCTCAAACTTTCGATTTGCACCCCCCCTCGAGTTTTTCTCTATATATTTTGCTATTTTTTGCCTTGGTGTCACCCCCCTAAATGGTGTCACCCAGTGCGGTCCGCACCCACCGCCCCCCCCCCCTCGCTACGCCCCTGCTCGTGTATGTATTCAAATGATCTCTAGCCTTAGGTAAATGGAATCGATGCTTCTGCTTCTAATTATTTGTTCATGTTTCTATTTTCTCCACCTAGATCTATACACGGTTTGTAATTTTTAAAATGCTTCTACGTCTAGTTAGAAACGCGTTTAGTAATGTTAGCAGGTGTATACTGGCTGTGTCCATGAGCCCCTTGAAATTTTAAAATGGGACCCACAACCCCAGATTAAAATTATAAAAGGTACCCCCAACCCCAGATTTAAATTATAAAAGGTACCCCCAACCCCAGATTTAAATTTAAAAGGTACCCCCAACCCCAGATTTAAATTATAAAAGGTACCCCCAACCCCAGATTTAAATTATAAAAGGTACCCCCAACCCCAGATTTAAATTTAAAAGGTACCCCCAACCCCAGATTTAAATTATAAAAGGTACCCCCAACCCCAGATTAAAAATTTTATTTCGAATTTTTCCCCATGATCATCCTCAGCTGAATGGGAATCCACGCGACATTTTTTAAAACATCCAACCCAAAACAGGCCTAATACAGCACTGTTCCGAGGGGCCCAAAGGGATTTTTTTTACCTAGGGGCCCACCGTGAGATTTCCTGGTACACCGTGGGTCAGTCCACACCAGAATTTTAGAACCGCTGCATGAAGTGGCATAACACCAGTTAAAAGATTACATAAGTCATTTAAAATATCTTGGCGCCTGCTAGTGGTTTTCCCAGTGGATCTTCCTCCACAAGTCTATGTAGATCTACGTAGATCATTTCTGGGAAAGTCACATTTATCTGAACGTGTAAAATGTTTTTATACCACAAGTCAGAAATAAGAATAGATTTATTGATTTGTAGATAAGTAACGGGACAGTCTTAAGTGTACTTGTTCACTGAAAATATGTTGTAACATATTTTTTTTTAAATTGTAGTAACATTTTAGTTGTCACGATGCCCTTTTTCAATATGTATAAACCTGGCTATAAACGATGAAATTTGGAAAAATCTAAATTTTTATTTCGTGAGCAGATACTGGGATCGTTAGCAGATACTGGGATCGTTAGCAGATACTGGGATCGTTAGCAGATACTGGGATCGTTAGCAGATACTGGGATCGTTAGCAGCTCATAGATACTGGGATCGTGAGCAGATACTGGGATCGTTAGCAGATACTGGGATCTTTAGCAGATACTGGGATCGTTAGCAGATACTGGGATCGTTAGCAGATACTAGGATCGTTAGCAGCTCATAGATACTGGGATCTTGAGCAGATACTGGGATCGTAGGCAGATACTGGGATCGTTAGCAGATACTGGGATCGTTAGCAGATACTGGGATCGTTAGCACACACTGGGATTGTGTGCAGATACTGGGATCGTTAGCAGATACTGGGATCGTTAGCAGATACTGGGATCGTTAGCACACACTGGCATCGTTAGCAGATACTGGGATCGTTAGCGGATACTGGGATCGTTAGCAGATACAGGGATCGTTAGCAGATACAGGGATCGTGAGCAGATACTGGGATCGTGTGCAGATTGTGGGATCGTTAGCAGATACTGGGATCGTTAGCAGATACTGGGATCGTGAGCAGATACTGGGATCGTGTGCAGATTGTGGGATCGTTAGCAGATACTTCGATCGTTAGCAGATACTGGGATCGTTAGCAGATACAGGGATCGTGAGCAGATACTGGGATCGTGTGCAGATTGTGGGATCGTTAGCAGATACTGGGATCGTTAGCAGATACTGGGATCGTCAGCACAAATTGGGATCGTGTGCAGATTGTGGGATCGTTAGCAGATACTGGGATCGTTAGCAGATACTGGGATCGTTAGCAGATACAGGGATCGTGAGCAGATACTGGGATCGTGTGCAGATTGTGGGATCGTTAGCAGATACTGGGATCGTTAGCAGATACTGGGATCGTCAGCAGATACAGGGATCGTTAGCAGATACTGGGATCGTGAACAGATACTGGGATCGTGAACAGTTCGTGAGCAGCTCTTCCTCGCTAAAACTTTGACGTTCCTGAATGATAATTTGCATTTCTCATTTAAATTATGTCACCATCAACTGCAAAACACTACTCTAATTACAGTCTACTAAAATTATTAATTAATTACAACCATGGGATTATTTTTATATATTTTAACTTTTACAACGATCGATGTTTTTATATAGACTTGATGCTCAAAGAAATACTGTGATACTGGTTATATAACACTACCTATAGTAGTGAAATTGAAAGTAAAAACATACGTTGAACATTGAATATTTTAATTAGGTTCATTTGCATAATCAATTACACAGTGAAATAAGGCTTTTAAGGTATATAAAACTGGTGTTTTTTTATAGCGCTTACCATGTGCCGTGGATCGCTTATGTCAGCAATCTAATAAGGATTTAATATAAACGATTGTAATGTGTAGGGGGAGGTGGCTTGAATGTCACTCACGTAATGTAGGTGCGTTGGTCGGGGACAAGAATGTCATTTAGTGGACATATGTGACAGTCGATAAACCGATGTGTCAGACACTTAATAGGTATGTCTGTCATTTGATAGGTATGTCCGTCATTTGATAGGTATGTCCGTCATTTGATAGGTATGTCCGTCATTTGATAGGTATGTCTGTCATTTGATAGGTATGTCTGTCATTTGATAGGTATGTCTGTCATTTGATAGGTATGTCTGTCATTTGATAGGTATGTCTGTCATTTGATAGGTATGTCTGTCATTTGATAGGTATGTCTGTCATTTGATAGGCGTGTCCGTCATTTGATAGGCGTGTCAGTCATTTGACACTATGTTAGTCACGCCATCTAATATGTCAGACATACGTCAACCAAATTGAGTTTGGGGTCCTCAAGACAAAAACAAATCCACGTTTGACGTGGTATGTACGAGATTGATGACGTCATCGATGGCTTACATTACTTATTGATCTCACATAGACGGAAGTGATTGGCAATCGAACCAGTACAGCCGACGTAATATAACAAACACACCGCCACACGCACTCATACATTGATCAGAAAACTTAATTACAATATGACTGTCTTATTAAAAAAAGTGCACGATATAATTATTTATCAACTTTACTATCTGATTAATGGGGCTTAAAGATTTTATTACAATAAAATAAAATCAGTTTCAGGTTTCGGTTAATGTATTTTAAAAGGCTAAAGATATTTTTGAAATCGCTCTTATTTTTGCTCATACAATTTCCAAAAGTGTTTTTCTGCTTCGATAGGATATTTTTGTAGCCGCGGATCATTTAGTGCAACCATGTGTGACTGCACTATTTTTGTAGGGCACAGGGATACTCCGATATTTAGATCCACACAGTAGCGTCGTTAGTTCATCACTTTTTTTGATAGACTAAGTTTTAAATTAAAAATTAGCTAACAACAAAAAGCCTTCACTTGTCGGACATCAATAAGAAAGTAAACACACAAAGATTTTAAATCTGAAAATCGTAGTTGGTTTCCCAATTCCCTTGTCACTCGTCTTTGCTTGTCCTATGTTAGATATTTCTTTAGTTATTCGTGTAATTACGTAATTATACCAAGTTACAGACAGACAGACAGACAGACAGATAGACAGACAGACAGACAGACAGATAGACAGCAGACACACAGACACAGACAGAAAGACGAACTTAGCCAATGACTAGAGAGTAATGTCCGACAGAAATGAACAACAAAGAAACTGCAATGAAACAAATTTAAAACACAATTTCATTAATTAGTGTAAATCATTTTTATCACAGAAATTAACAAGGGCGACCTGAAAATCATCAACACATTAAATAATTAATTAGAAACAAATCTAATTGACAACTTCTGGTAATATCTGGTTTACGTGATACAGAGTTAATGAGGCGACAACGGCGTCATAACGACGGCGTCATAACAACGGAGTCATCACAATGGCGTCATAATAACGGCTTCATCGCAGATTCTTGAATAAGAAAATGATTAATGAGAAAAATAAATACGATCGTTAAACTGAGAAAATTACACCAGCAGAGGCGTAGCTACCCTTCCCGGCGCCCGGGGACAAACTTTCAATATGGCGCCCTCGTCGGGAGCAACTTTTCAACTTGCACCCTCCCCCCTCAAACTTTCGATTTGCACCACCCCTCAAACTTTACATTTGCACCAATTTGGCGCCCCCTAAGGTCGGTGCCCGGGGACATATGTAGGCCTACCCCCCTCGCTACGCCTCTGTACACAGCGTCTGCAGATAACCTCTTGGTTATTAAGATAAATGAAATCGCAAAACTTAACCCTTGGCCGATCCATGATAGCCAGGTGGGCATAACAATGTGTATTTGTACATTTGTTATATGTTTCGGGATAAATTACATTGTACACCATAAAAGAATCACAATATTCGTTGTTTATTTAGTACAACATTAGCAGCTATCGATATCTAAAAGTCTCTCAATAATAAGGGGAGCTAAAAACTAGCACTGATTGTGTTCATTCAACATCTGAAGTTTTATAAGGTTTGTCTCCCTTTTATAGTAAACCAATTTTATATTGATTAGTGTATGGCTATGGGAACTGCTCTCATGTGTATATCTTTAACTCTGTTTATTTAACATTTTGCTTTTTTTATATTTTTACCGATATATGCTTCCACCTCTTCCTTGAATATTTGTAAAAACGAAAGTATATACAGATGTACAGTGATTATTTTTGTACAGGGTTAACAATAATCTTTATTTAATCACTCGGTAAGATATTTGTCTTTGGTATTAAATTTGCTACAGGTTTTGGGGCCATTGAATAATTTCGGGTCACAAGCTCATAAATATCACATAGCCTGCCTCGTTTTTTTGGGTCACCATCCCATAATTCCTGTCACACGTTTTAGTCAACATCCCATAATTCCTGGCAAAGTTTTATTCCGTGTGTGCCAGCACCTTCCTCCCAGCAACGTAAACCTCCTCAATGTTCCGATCATCCCCTTAAAGAAACAAAAAAGCACATAGTAAAATAAACTCAATTTCGACATCTTTCAGAAAAACTCTCTACTACATTTCAACAGGCTTGAAAAGTCGATGCAATCATACTATTTTTTTTAATCTTTAAAAGAATATGGCAAGCGATAAAACTATAGCCGTTTGGGAACCATCGTTTATACTCATTTTTATATAATTTTTTTAATATAAGCCGTTGAAAAGCCGTTTAGAATTATTTTATCAATTACTAATATATTAGTAATTATTTGTCTGCATATTTCTAGCCTTAATAAAACCGGATATCATTTCGTACTTAAATGTTATAAAATATTCAATTTTGGTTAAAAAATATGCTTTCTAGCAACAACCATTTGGAACCAGCTTTTCAAATATTTAGCACACACGCACCGAAATGTATACTTTTACTCACCCAAGAAAATAAATTTCTGTATGACGTCATCAATGTTGTCCGTCACAAAGACGTCAAACGGTCCGCCTTTGACGTAAGCGTTGACCACTATGGCGTCAAACTCCTTGCCCACGCTGAAGTTCCCGATGACGTCATCAAGTCCAAGTACTGAGAGGAGGAGGGGGGGGGGAATGACCACTTAAAATCAAGGCCTTATAGAGATATTCAAGTTATTACTGATTCATCATCATCATCATCTTTTCCCGTTCGTGCCCAAGAAGTAGAGTTCATCTGTTTCAGAGACTCCGGTATATAAAGGGAAAGTGTGGTCAGCACTACGTTATTAGTGTTTACTTACCTAAAATCTCGACGGGTTATAGAATAAGAAAGTAATAAGTAAGGAGTTTAAAGCTCGCAATTCTTTCATAAGCCCCGGTCAAATATCCAGACAAACTCTGCTTCATCTGTCCTATGAACAATTCTAAAACTGTACTTCACTATAATAAACTACCCGACATGTAACATATGAAATAAGTTTCACAGATTTCACTGGGGAAAATTTACTAACATAGTTACAAAGGGAGTAACCTCTCGGTATTGTACGCTGTGTTATTCCAATAGACACATTAAGGTGTAAGCCTGCTTCATTTGAATGAAACAATCACGAGCACAAATTGATACTTTGAAGTATGACCAAATCTTACCTTTGTTAATATCAAGAATAGAAAATATTACCTTTGCTTCTATCAAGAATGGCCAACTCTTACCTTTACTAACAACAAAAAATGGCCAACTCTTACCTTCACTAACAACAAAAAATGGCCAACTCTTACCTTCACTAACAACAAAAAATGGCCAAATCTTACCTTCACTAACAACAAAAATGGCCAAATCTTACCTTTACTAACAACAAAAAATGGCCAACTCACCTTTACTAACAACAAAAAAATGGCCAAATCTTACCTTTACTAACAACAAAAATTGCCAAATTATACCTTTACTAACAACAAAAATGACCAAATCTTACCTTTACTAACAACAAAAATGGCCAACTCTTACCTTTACTAACAACAAAAATGGCCAACTCACCTTTACTAACAACAAAAAATGGCCAAATCTTACCTTTACTAACAACAAAAATTGCCAAATTATACCTTTACTAACAACAAAAATGACCAAATCTTACCTTTACTAACAACAAAAATGGCCAAATCTTACCTTTACTAACAACAAAAATGGCCAACTCTTACCTTCACTAACAACAAAAATGGCCAACTCTCACCTTCACTATCAACAAAAATGGCCAACTCACCTTTACTAACAACAAAAATGGCCAAATCTTACCTTTACTCACAACAAAAATGGCCAAATCTTACCTTTACTAACAACAAAAATGGCCAAATCTTACCTTTAATAACAACAAAAACGGCCAACTCTCACCTTCGCTACTCCCCAGTGTGGCCAGACGGAACATGTCCATGTACGTGAGTGGCGTCACTGACTCCTCTTTGAGCAACGTCTGCTGTTTGAGAATGTTTGCTGACTCTGCCCCCCGCCGTATGGCGTCTAGCATGGAGGGGCTGTGGCCGCCAGCAAAGTCTGGGAGTCAGGTAAAACATGTCGACTTTAGTGGGGGGTTGTTTCGAAAGGTGTGGGATTGTTTCAACAAATGTGTGATTCTTTCCCAAAATATGTGATTGTTTAAAAAACGTGTGTGATTGAATAAAATAATGTGTGATTTTTTCAATAAATCTGTGATTGTTTTTTTTTAACATGTTATTGTTTCAAAAAATGTGTGATTGACTCAAATAATGTATGTATGTTTCAAATAATTTGTAATTGTGTTGAAAAATATGTGATTTTTTTCAAAAAAATGTGTAATCGTCTCGAAAAATGTGTGATTGTTTCAAAAATGTGTGATTTTTTTTTCAACAAATCCGTGATTGTTTTTAAAATATGAGATTGGTTTTAAAAATGTGTTATTGTTTCAAATCTAACCAAAAAAGTACGAATCTTATATTTAAAAATGTATGATAATTAGCTTTTTGTATTCGTGTTTTGTTTCGGTATATTTTACGAGCCATTTTGTAACTTTAAAAATTTCAAATTTTTAGACGGTTGGCTTACAGAGATATAATTTAACTCACTAGCTATATGAAGGAGAACATGATCACTTGTATGAAAATAACATGACTCACCCGTGCCAAGTCCGACTTTGACCCCCACGTCTAAAGCTTTCCTGACATCAAGAATTCCACTACAGAGGCTGTCATAGAATACAGATTTAAAGTTACAAGATTTTCATTTAAAGTTACAAGATTGATTTGCATTTAAAGTTACAAGATTTTCATTTAAAGTTATAAAATTTTCATTTAAAGTTACAAGATTTTCATTTAGTTACATTTTCATTTAAAGTTGCAATATTTTTATTTAAAGTTACAAGGTTTTCATATAAAGTTACAAGATTTTCATTTAAAGTTACAAGATTTTCAATTCAGTTACAAGATTTTCAATTAATGTTACAAGATTTTCATTTACGTTACAAGATTTTCATTTAAAGTTACAAGATTTTCATTTAAAGTTACAATATTTTCATTTCAGTTACAAGATATTCATTTAAAGTTACAATATTTTCATTTCAGTTACAAGATATTCATTTAAAGTTACAAGATTTTCATTTAATGTTACAAAATGTCTTATGTTTGATATTGGAGTTTTATTACTTATACCTGATAATGGAGTTGTGTGACTTATACCTGATATTTGAGTTTTATGACTTATACCTGATATTGGAGTTTTATGACTTATACCTGATATTTGAGTTTTATGACTTATACCTGATATTGGAGTTTTATGACTTATACCTGATATTGGGGTTTTATGACTGATACCTGATTTTGGAGTTTTATGACTTATACCTGATATTGGAGTTTTATGACTTATACCTGATATTGGAGTTTTTTATGACTTATACCTGATATTGGGGTTTTATGACTGATACCTGATATTGAAGTTTTATGACTTATACCGGATATTGAAGTTTTATGACTTATACCTGATATTGGAGTTTTATGACTTATACCTGATATTGGAGTTTTATGACTTATACCTGATATTGGAGTTTTATGACTTATACCTGATATTGGAGTTTTATGACTTATACTTGATATTGGAGTTGTATGACTTATACCTGATATTGGAGTTGGGACAATGACTGATGCCACTGTCTCTATCTTTGATCAACCTGAGCTCATCACGTGATAGGTGAACGCCGTGGGCAAGAATGGTCTGAAATATGTGGAGAGATGTATTGTTGTAACATAAGCATAACAAAATTTATCTTTATGTTAAACCTCATGCTATTCTCGGATTAAGAAGTCATTTGTTAACAATAATATAAAATTTCCTATTTGTGACTAACCTTTGATCCAGTCACCCACACCCCCTGATAACACACAGGGACCAAGTAACTTTCGCATCTTTGACCCAGCCAGCCACTCCTATATGACCCAGCCACCCACCCCTATATGACCCACCTATGACCCAGCCACCCCTATATGACCCACCCAGCCACCCCCACCCCTATAAGATCCACCCAGCCACCCCCACCCCTATATGACCCACCTTTGACCCAGCCACCCCTATATGACCCACCCAGCCACCCCCACCCCTATAAGATCCACCCAGCCACCCCACCCCTATATGACCCACATTTGACCCAGCCACCCCTATATGACCCACCATTGACCCAGCCACCCACCCCTATATGACCCACCTATGACCCAGCCACCCTTATATGACCCACCCAGCCACCCCCACCCCTATAAGATCCACCCAGCCACCCCACCCCTATATGACCCACCTTTGACCCAGCCACCCTACCCCTATATGACCCACCCAGCCACCCCCACCCCTATAAGATCCACCCAGCCACCCCACCCCTATATGACCCACCTTTGACCCAGCCACCCCACCCCTATATGACCCACCCAGCCACCCCCACCCCTATAAGATCCACCCAGCCACCCCCACCCCTATGTGACCCACCTTTGACCCAGCCACCCCTATATGACCCACCCAGCCACCCCCACCCCTAAAAGATCCACCCAGCCACCCCACCCCTATATGACCCACATTTGACCCAGCCACCCCTATATGACCCACCATTGACCCAGCCACCCACCCCTATATGACCCACCTATGACCCAGCCACCCTTATATGACCCACCCAGCCACCCCCACCCCTATAAGATCCACCCAGCCACCCCACCCCTATATGACCCACCTTTGACCCAGCCACCCCACCCCTATATGACCCACCCAGCCACCCCCACCCCTATAAGATCCACCCAGCCACCCCACCCCTATATGACCCACCTTTGACCCAGCCACCCCACCCCTATATGACCCACCCAGCCACCCCCACCCCTATAAGATCCACCCAGCCACCCCCACCCCTATGTGACCCACCTTTGACCCAGCCACCCCTATATGACCCACCCAGCCACCCCCACCCCTATAAGATCCACCCAGCCACCCCACCCCTATATGACCCACCTTTGACCCAGCCACCCCACCCCTATATGACCCACCCAGCCACCCCCACCCCTATAAGATCCACCCAGCCACCCCCACCCCTATAAGATCCACCCAGCCACCCCCACCCCTATGTGACCCACCTTTGACCCAGCGACCCCTATGTGACCCACCTTTGACCCAGCGACCCCTATGTGACCCACCTTTGACCCACCACCCCTATGTGACCCACCTTTGACCCACCTTTGACCCACCTACCCCTATGTGACCCACCTTTGACCCACCACCCCTATGTGACCCACCTTTGAGCCCAGAAGACCCGCCCTGTCATAGACCTCTGTGTACGAACGTGTGTCGGGGAAAAGTTGGCTCACCAGCTCAATCTCGCCCACGTTTTCACTGATGTGTGTCTGGGGATACAAACATCTGGCACTGACATATGGCACTGACACATGGCACTGACATCATTCACTGACATGTGTTACTGACATCATTAACTGACATATGTCACAGACATTATTAACTGACATATGTCACTGACACCATTCACTGACATACGTCAAAATAATCCTGCCTTTGACTATTGTAAGAAATTACAAATAGTTAGATTATTGCTCATAGAATAAGCCGACCTCAAAAACAGATAGAAACTATACACATTTCATGAATTTCAAACATTTTTAATAGGTGGGTATCAGTTCTTTTTGTGACCAGCAAGCATATGACAGTAAACGTTGATTATCTAATCGTATAACAGACTACATTAATTTGTTGTTTCTTTGTTACATATATTTTTTGCTTGCTTTTTGTGTGCTTATCTTGTAACTCAATTTCGAGCCACTTCTAATGCACCGATTTTGTTCAAACTTTTCAGATACATTTAGAAGATTAATAAATTCAATAATAAAAGTGTAGATAACAAGATTAAGTACTAAGTGATTGTCCGCAGTAAAGAGAAGACAACGAACTGGGGGTTTATTCGTCCGAACATCGACCGCGGACTAAGCAGCGGCAGATAATTGTCTATTAGAGATTGACAGCGACTGATCGCGTTTTAAAGCAGATGTTTTAGTCGCATGTGGATTCAACTTCATTTAGAAATCTAGAACTATTTACTAAAATTAAACAAATTTAAAAAAAAAAACCTTTATAATTATAAGTTTTAAACGCTCCGAATATAAGAAAATACACCGAATTTGCTTGCATTTTATTAAAGAATGAAAATTAGTTTTATTTTCTTGATTTTCATTGCACGTTAAAGCGTTTTATTTTAAAGGTTTTTTTCATATTTTATTTCTTGACAAGAGCTCACAAAACTTGTCTGCTGTAGTTTGTCCTGTTTACAAACAAATTCGCAACGGATTAAACAAATAATCTAAGAGATATAAGTGAATAATTCGCAAAAAAAAACTAAAACTGTAAATTGTTGAACTAAGGACGAAATTTATAAATAACCAAAAACGAGCCTAAGTCTTTGTCGTCGGACATAATTATTAAACAAGGCGGTCTTTAGACGAATGAAATGAAGAGATACCCTAGTCTTAAGTGATATGTCCTCAGCAAGATATATGCTAGATCCGGGCGGTTACCTGAACCGGAAGTGAAAATTCTGTCGCGAGATGGCCAAGTTGTTTCATGAGCTCCATACTGCACGTGACTGCAAATCTTGGTGTGATGCAAGGTGTGATGAGGGGGTTCTGTGGGGGAATACATGAGTACAGACCGACATAAAACTTCGTCTGATACAAGGTGACTTTTATTTCAGAAAATTAGCTTAAAAATTTCTTTTATTACCGTAATTTTTCAAAAATGGTTTACCTTTTTATCTAAAACGTCTTTGATAAATCTGAAATTGAAAGGCATTTTAAGAGAAACTAAAATCATTTGATAAATCTGACATTGAAAGGCGTTTAAAAAGAAAATAAAAACATTTGATAGATCTGAAATTGAAAGGCACTTTAACTTAAGAGAAAATAAAAACATTTGATAAATCTAAAATTGTACGGCGTTTTAAAAGAAAATAAAAACAAGTTTTCACCTTTGTACATTTTGTTATTTCCTAAAGAAAAACAGTTCAAAGATGAAGAAAAAGGAAACAAAAAAAACTGTTTCTGGCATTGAATAAAACATTTCATTCAACTCACGTTGAGTCAGCCGACTCCATCCCCACCCCTTCTTAAACCCTCCCTCTTTCACCCCACCCCCCCCCCCTCTCCTCTTCCCAGCCGTGCATTAATAAAAATATCCTGGGGCCACCAATTTTAACAGTAAACGTGACCCACATCCTCCCTCATTGTCCCTGTATTCCCGTGTTATACAAAAATGGGTTGCACAAAATTCCTGCAGAAATGACCTGTTTTCTATCACGTGACTCACCGTCTGGTATCCGACACCGACTGGTCACGTGACTCCCTGTAGCTGTCCGGTGAGTTCGTGTCCATGTTGACCTTGCCAATAAACGCCCTTTGACCTTGGCGAGCTGACGACGAAAAGAATAGCGTCTTACGTTTTTACGTGAACTTCTACAGTGTTGTGTCCAATGACTATAGCAACAACAACAACAGTAACAACAACAAAAAACAACAATTCTCAACAATTACAACAACCACAGCAGCAATATCCAAAACAACATCAGCAATAACAACCACATGAATAACCACAACAGTAGCAATAACAACCATATCAACCACAACAGCAACAACAATTGCAACAACAAAAGCCACATGAACCACCACAACAGCAACAACCACAATAGCAACACCGACAACAGCATGAACAACCACAACATTAAATATCCACAACAATAACAACAGGAACAACAACAGCAACAGCCCCAACCACATCAACAACCAACCAACTCACCAACAACCCCAACCACATCAACAACCAACCAACTCACCAACAACCCCAACCACATCAACAACCAACCAACTCACCAACAGCATCAACCACATCAACAACCTACCAACTCACCAACGGCATCAACCAGCGTCATGGTTGACCTGCGGTCTATGGTGGCGAAGTAACAAACTGTGGTCGTTCCGTTTCTCAACGTCCTGTTCTATACAACAGATTATATATTAATAACAAGTAAACTTTGTTTTGAAATAACGAAACTCAACGGGAAAGTTGCAAATAAAAGATGCGCAACAGTAGCTTACGCACATATTAGAAAATTGCACACACAGAAAAATGCGCACACAGAAAATTTAGTTAAATAAACGTTATTTCCTTGTGGAATGACTTATATTAAGTGTAGATTGACTTACAACATAATATACAACATAATATACCCGCTAACAAACTAATGCAGCCCTAAACACTGTAGTCACAAAACGCACAAACACAACACGCACAAACACAACACGCACAAACACAACACGCACAAACACAACACGCACAAACACAACACGCACAAACACAACACGCACAAACACAACACGCACAAACACAACACGCACAAACACAACACGCACAAACACAACACGCACAAACACAACACGCACAAACACAACACGCACAAACACAACACGCACAAACACAACACGCACAAACACAACACAACACGCACAAACACAACACGCACAAACACAACAAGCACAAACACAACACGCACAAATACAACACGCACAAACACGCTGAACTAGCTTTACGTCCTCACCACACATTTGTTGTAGACATCAGACGCGAACTGGTCGTCTGAGAGGAACCGGGTCTCTGTGGGGTAGGTGTACGTCTGTAACCATGGCAACAGCTCCAGGCCGCTTCCGGTGCCGACGAATGAAAACTGCGGCGCATGCGCGTGTGAGTCAACAAATCCGGGCATCAGAAATCTGCAGACAAGAGAAACTGCCTGCTGTAGCATCAGGGGAGGGGCGGAGGGGAAGAATTGTAAAGCATGGTGGGGGAGAAGGGAAGCATAGTAAAGCATGTTATGGGAGAAGGGAAGTATAGCAAAGCATGATGTTGGAGAAAGGAAGTATTGTAAGGCACGATGGAAACCTACAGTGGAGCTGATAGCTCATGCAATGACACCCCCTACACATACACACACACTTTCACACACACATACACACCCTATATCACATAGCAGGATTGGGAGCTGCTGAATTTTTGCAAAAGTAAAAATAGCTCACGACAGTGAGTCGGATCAAATAGTACAACGTCAGCAACCAAACGCCAATCACCCAACAGCTCAACAGCAACGTGTTTAATAAAAATCATAAACATCGGAACTCGTATTACTAAGTGATGGCGTGGTCGGGCGGCAGAGCACATGAATACTATCTCAAGTTCCCCTAGCTCGTACACCCGGGCAGATGAGGCTCGTTAGCTGGGGCCAGCAACCCATCTAGGAGAGAGGATTCACCCACAACCACCACTACCAACAACCATTTCGCCATCCGCAATATTACACTGCTAGTAGATTCTAGATTCCCACTAATAATTGGCGTTAAGAAAAGACAATTTTCCTCACTTTTGTTTTAAATAGATGACGTCATCTTGAGATATTTGATACTTTTCTAGCACGGTGGATAGTTGGTCTTTGCTGGTCACAAAAATTATCTGTAAAAAAATATGTAAAACAAAGCGTTTTTTAAGGTTTACAACAATACTTTGAAAATGCAAACTTGTGTGTCTATGTATGCTAAAACCGTTATGCAAAAAAGGTAAGTGTTAGGACTTTAGTTAGACTTGACATGGAGGTGGGGTTAGGGTAGATCTAACAACGTAAAAGTTTAGTTTTTAAGTCTCTGGTTAGACTTGACATGGAGGTGGGGTTAGGGTAGATCTACCAACGTAAAAGTTTAGTTTTTAAGTCTCTGGTTAGACTTGTCATGGAGGTGGGGTTAGGGTAGATCTACCAACGTAAAAGTTTAGTTTTTAAGTCTCTGGTTAGACTTGACATGGAGGTGGGGTTAGGGTAGATCTACCAACGTAAAAGTTTAGTTTTTAAGTCTCTGGTTAGACTTGTCATGGAGGTGGGGTTAGGGTAGATCTACCAACGTAAAAGTTTAGTTTTTAAGTCTCTGGTTAGACTTGATCTGAAGGTGGGGTTAGGGTAGATCTACCAACGTAAAAGTTTAGTTTTTAAGTCTCTGGTTAGACTTGGCATGGAGGTGGGGTTAGGGTAGATCTACCAACGTAAAAGTTTAGTTTTTAAGTCTCTGGTTAGACTTGTCATGGAGGTGGGGTTAGGGTAGATCTACCAACGTAAAAGTTTAGTTTTTAAGTCTCTGGTTAGACTTGTCATGGAGGTGGGGTTAGGGTAGATCTACCAACGTTGACGTGGTGATCAAGATAAGCAATGTTCGGCGTAGTTTCGCATAATGTAGTAGACAAGTGATAGTGTTTCTTTAAGACATTTTTTTTTGTCTAGGGGCACTTGAAACTTTAGGGGAGTGGAGGGGGGCCGGCGTGTATTTCCAAAAGAGTGGGGGCGGACATGTCACACACCTGTCACTGTCATGTCACACATCTGTCACTGTCATGTTATATATGGCAATGTCATGTCGCAAATGTCACTGTTATGTCACACATGTCACTCTCATGTCACCCCTGTCGCTATCATCTCACACACCTGACACTCTCATGTCACACACATCTGTCATGTCACACATATGTCACTATGATGTTACATCAGGCACTGTCATGTCACATCTGTCAATGTCCCTCACCTGCTGAAGTCATTTAAAACACCTGCATATGTCAAGTCACACATCTGTCACACACGTCTGACCCACACATCAACCACACACATCTGCTACAGTCATACCTCACACAATACGTGTGTGTCATCTTTTAAAAAGCGTGTTAACCCAGCTGTAAAAACTAGCAACTAAACCTCCACCTGAGTGAGTCATGTCGACTCGCATAATTTCAGCCCTTATCATCAAATAATTGAATAATTAAACTGAGGTGACAGCTTCATCTAATGATATTTGGTAGTATAAATATGGTGGTTGTGATGGTACAATTTTTGGTAGTATAATTCGGTGGCTGGGATGGTTACACCTTTTTGGTAATATAATTAGGGTGGTTGGGATGGTACAATACAATTTTTGGTAGCATAATTCGGTGGTTGGGATGTTACAATACAATTTTTGGTAGCATAATTAGGGTGGTTGGGATGGAACAATACAATTTTTGGTAGCATAATTCGGTGGTTGGGATGGTACAATTTTCGGTAGTATAATTAGGGTGGTTGGGATGGTACAATGTTTGGTAGTATAATTAGGTGGTTGGGATGGTTAAAAAAATTTTGTAGTATAATTAGGTGGTTGAGATGGTACAATGTTTGGTAGTATAATTAGGTGATTGGGATGGTTGACTGGCCGTACCTAAACAGACTGGTTGACTTTATTAAATCTATGACAATACCATTTTAGGCTAATCATAATGTGGAATTTAATATTTCCCATCCGAGTCATTAACTGTCATTGTTACTAGTCATCTAAGAGAGAAAACTCCGATTTCAAACAGGAGTTGAGTCCCTTATGCGATATCATCACCAACTTTGAATTCTATCCAGCAACTTCAACAACGCTAGTTGGTACCCAACGCAATAACTTATCAATTCTTTAGACTATACCAGCAAAGTTCCAGAGAGGGGTCACGATGTATGACCATCCCTTGACCTCTTCATCCAATGCCAAGTTACCCCCACCCCACTAGGATGTCACTTCTCTAGGTACCTTAAATGTCGCCTGATGTAAAAATGGAGCCATGTTTTTTTCATAATGATCTCAGCGTGCGAAAAAAAAAAATGGAAGCAGTTTCCGAAATAATGGAAATAAAAAGAAGACGCTGGGTAGGGCACGTCCTAAGAATGAATCCAGATAATATCGCGGTAATGTCACTAAACTGGACGCCTCAAGGAAAAAAGAAAGGGAAGGCAAAGGGAGACGTGGAAGCGCACTGCCAGGAAGAAGCTGGCAGAGGCAGGATTGTCATGGGGGAGTGCCAGGAAAATTGTCGGTGACCGACAAAAGTGGAGGGTGTTACGTCCCTTACTTGTCCCCTGCTTGTGTGTGTGTTGTGTGCTGGAACAACAGGTACCCTCTCTTTGGTGTATAGTTGTAGCCCTTGGTTGAGTGTGTTCAGAGGCGTAGCGAAGGGGGGTCAGGGGGTACATATGTCCCCGGGCGTCGACCTTAGGGGGCGCCAAAATGGGTTGGAAAAACCAATTAAAATTTCATTTTAGCTGCATTTTGCTTTATACATATAAAAAATATATGAGGGGGGAGGGGTGCAAATCGAAAGTTTGATGGGGGGGGGGGGTGCAAATAGAACGTTTGAGGGAAGGGGGGCTAAATTGAAAGTTTGTCCCCGGGTGCCGGGAAGGGTCGCTACGCCTCTGAGTGTGTTTACAATTACATGGAGCGAGAAGTGTTCACGTGAGGTGTGTCAGGTGACGGGTGTCAGAGCGTGTGCCAGTGTGTGAAGCAGTTAGTTGTAGTGTGGCTGTGGACGTGGAACGTGGTGTTGAGTATTGTTATTTAGGTTGTAGACCCCTTTTGATCTTTTATTATTTTATTACTGTATATATATTAAATCTATTATTATTATTATTATAGAGTGTTAGTGTTATCTACTATTGTATAGGTTGTCTTTGTCTGTTGCTATATATATACCCCTAGACATTGAAGAACCCAACAGAGGGAGCTTTCTGTACGCCCCCATGTGTTGGGCACTAAAAAGAAGAGATGATAATGAAACGGCTGGACTTACCTTCCCGTTTCTCACGGCAATGGCGGTGTCGGTGAGCACTTCAAGACTCTTTGTTTTGGTCGAGTGGACCAGGGTACCCACAAACACAAGGTCGTTCGTCTCCGGCATGGTTGTCAGTCAGGCAAGATTTGCTGGACGATGGCAGCCAGGCAAGCTATGCTGGACGATGGTAGTCAGACAAGATTTGCTGGACGATGGCAGTCAGACAAGATTTGCTGGACGATGGTAGTCAGGCAAGATTTGCTGGACGATGGTAGTCAGGCAAGATTTGCTGGACGATGGCAGTCAGGCAAGATTTGCTGGACGATGGTAGTCAGGCAAAATTTGCTGGACGGTGGCAGTCAGGCAAGATTTGCTGGACGATGGTAGTCAGACAAGATTTGCTGGACGATGGTAGTCGACAAGATTTGCTGGACGATGACAGTCAGGCAAGATTTGCAGGACGATGGTAGTCAGACAAGATTTGCTGGACGATGGTAGTCAGACAAGATTTGTTGGACGGTGGCAGTCAAACTATGCTGGACGATGATGTTCAGACAATTATGTATGATGACAGTCAGACAAGCTATGCTGGATGTTCCTTAGTTAGTCAGACAAGCTATGCTTGACGATGATGTTCAGACAAACTATGCTGGATGTGCCTTATAACAAAGTCAGACAAACTATGCTGGTCGGAATATTCCTTGACAGCCAGACACTGAACGCTGATTAGCCTGCAACACAAAGAGTAAACAAACCACTTTAAATTCACAGTGCAAAGAATAACCAAAGAAAAACCAAAATATTCCTGTTAATTTAATGACTGACGGGAACAGGTGGGTAGGGGAGGTAACTGCTGGTGTGAAGTATGTTGTACGCAAAAAATGTATTCTTTCATTATGCATTCAAAACCCTTATCACTAACCTAACAAATGTAATGACATTTGTTTTTAAAATCGATTTCACCTAGCGGGAGATATAAAATATACTGGTTATTAAAAATACGTTATATTTTTTTCTCACCAGTCTGGTATTAAAAACACTAACAAAAGTAAAACACATTTTAAAATAGAGTTCAAATACGTATTCCCATTTCGGTTACATCGAAATTCGCTAGAGTCCAGTGAACTATTTTATCGTTGTTTAAGAAGAAAACAATCCACAAATATCCCACAATTTCACCCCACCATGAAGAGATTCTAAAGATAACATAGACTGTGTTTCTCTCAGTCAGCTTTTGTCACATCGAATCGGTGATTCTCAACAGTTCTATTTTGGTATCAATACACATTTCTACTCAGGGTCTAAGCTCCCAAATATTCTATATATGTTTAAGCTCCCAAATATTCTGCCACTGACTAAGCTCCCAAATATTCTGCCACTGACTAAGCTCCCAAATATTATGCCACTGTCTAAGCTCCCAAATATTATGCCACTGTCTAAGCTCCCAAATATTCTGCCACTGCTTAAGCTCCCAAATATTATGCCACTGTCTAATCTTCCAAATATTATGCGACTGTCTAAGCTCCCAAACATTATGCCACTGTCTAAGCTCCCAAATATTCTGCCACTGTCTAAGCTCCCAAATATGCTGCCACTGTCTAAGCTCCCAAATAATCTGCCACTGTCTAAGCTCCCAAATATTCTGCCACTGTTTAAGCTCCCAAATATTATGCCACTGTCTAATCTTCCAAATATTCTGCCACTGTCTAAGCTCCCAAATATTCTGCCTCTGTCTAAGCTCCCAAATATTATGCCACTGTCTAAGCTCCCAAACATTATGCCACTGTCTAAGCTCCCAAATATTATGCCACTGTCTAATCTTCCAAATATTCTGTCACTGTTTAAGCTCCCAAATATTATGCCACTGTCTAAGCACCCAAATATTCTGCCACTGACTAAGCTCCCAAATATTCTGCCACTGTCTAAGCTCCCAAATAGTATGCCACTGTCTAAGCTCCCAAATATTATGCCACTGTCTAATGTTCCAAATATTCTGCCACTGTCTAAGCTCCCAAATATTATGCCACTGTCTAAGCTCCCAAATATTCTGCCACTGTCTAAGCTCCCAAACATTATGCCACTGTCTAAGCTCCCAAATAGTATGCCACTGTCTAAGCTCCCAAATATTCTGCCACTGTCTAAGCTCCCAAATATTATGCCACTGTTTAAGCTCCCAAACATTATGCCACTGTCTAAGCTCCCAAACATTATGCCACTGTCTAATCATCCAAATATTCTGCCACTGTTTAAGCTCCCAAATATTATGCCACTGTCTAAGCTCCCAAATATTCTGCCTCTGTCTAAGCTCCCAAATATTCTGCCACTGTCTAAGCTCCCAAATATTCTGCCACTGTAAAACTCTGTTTAAAAAACGGACCATTTTGTATTCATTTATTTGGAAATATATATATATATATATATATATATATATATATATATATATATATATATATATATATATATATATATATATATATATATATATATATATATATATATATATCGTATATGGAAATTAATACTTAGCTACATACAGGGGTTATAAAACACAACACGTTCAACTTTAGGCTTGTGAAACCTAAACATTCTGGCTCTAGTCATTTTATCTGTACCTAAATAGTTTCAATATAATTATTATTTCGCGTTAGTATTAGCAGGTCACGTGTGAGAACCGCTGTATCAGATCAATACAAGGCATCGATCGGTAATTAGCAACTGGCTAAAACACTGCTTGAACATAATTAGCCGAGACATGTTTACTGTAATTAGAAAGCTGTTAATTAAAAGAAAATTAATGACTTTAATCACAGTAAAGTCTGATGAAAACGTCCATTAATGACGTCACGGTGAGAACGGGAGGGGTTCGGACTTTGACGACGAGGGAGGGGGGTACGGCGTCAAACTTGCGCATTGTTAAAAGTATTATTCAGGTTGAATAATTCGCATTTTAAAGTATTTTTTGTAAATTATAATCCTTATGCCTTAGTTTACATCGTCCGTCCCAGCTCAATTTACAGCCTAGAAAGAAATCGCGTTCAAAAAACTCAAAACAAAATTACAGATTGGAAGGGCAGGGGTTTAGGCTAAAACTTTTCAAGGACTGTCTGACATTTTGTGACAATGTGTGATAATGTGAAAAGGGGTCATCCATAAATGAAGTCACGCTTATTAAATGATTTTTACCCCCCCCCCCTCCCTCCTTTACACATAGTCACAAAAAGCCAGACCCCCCTCCCTTAAAATGACGTCACACAACCCCCCCCCCTCCCTCAAAATTGCAGTTGACTTTCTTAAAATAGGGTATTTTTCCAAAATCTTGTCTGAACTCTGGAAACAGAGTATTTTAATCAATTCCTATTACAATGTATTAAAAAACGTTTTCTAAAACGCGAAATAACGGCTAAAACTCGTTTTCTATCATTGCTTTTTTTATAAATGCAAAAGTGTGACGTCACACCATCTGAACCCCCCCCCCCCTCCCCCTCATCACAGACCGTCACAAAATTACAGACCCCTCCCCCCTACGAGTGTGACGTCATTTATGGACGACCCTAAAGAGTTAAAATATAAAAATCGTCACAAACCTGGTTTGAACCTGATTTGGGTGCCCTAATGAACTTTTTAAATTAACAAAAACAACACGTTTCACCTTGACCTATGACCCAACTATAAAACCACGAGCTCAATTTCCAGAAGTTTCTAGGCGTGAAGAATGAAAAAGTTGATGAGTTAAGATTCAAGTCAAGAACGGTAACTGGTGTTTATGTACGGTCACGAGTTGTCTGACTTGTGTGTCATGTTAGCCCGACTAGTGTTCACGGTACAAAAAGTTTAGCTCCATAAAACATGGAAGTCACTTCAGTGCTGTGATGCTGCGTTTCTCTAAGTCGTTCTCTCAGAGTAGTGGAGCCCTAGTGTACCATAGAGCCCTTGTATACCAGAGAGCCCTAGAGTACTAAAGAGCCCTAGTGCACCAGAGAGCCCTTGTATACCAGAGAGCCCTAGAGTACCAAAGAGCCCTAGTGTACCATAGAGCCCTAGTGCACCATAGAGCCCTAGTGTACCATAGAGCCCTAGTGTACCATAGAGCCCTTGTTTACCATAGAGCCCTAGTGTACCATAGAGCCCTAGTGTACCATAGAGCCCTTGTTTACCATAGAGCCATAGTGTACCATAGAGCCCTTGTTTACCATAGAGCCATAGTGTACCATAGAGCCCTAGAATACCAGAGAGCCCTAGTGTACCATAGAGCCCTAGTGTACCATAGAGCCCTAGTGTACCATAGAGCCCTAGAGTACCAGAGAGCCATTGTGTACCAGAGAGCCCTATTGTACAAGAGAGCCCTTGTGTACCATAGAACCCTTGTATACCAGAGAGCCCTAGTGCATCAGAGAGCCCTATTTAAGCTAAGAGCCCTTGTATACCAGAGCCCTAATGCACCAAAGAACCTTGGTGTAGCAGATTCAATAATTTATCACAGAGCCCTGTTCTACCAGAGAGCCCGAGTGTACCACAGAGCCCTAGTGTATCAGAGAGCCCGAGTGTACCATAGACAATAGTGTAGCACAGTGCCCAAGTGTATCAGAGAGCCAATGTGAAATCTAACTCGAGCTGAATAACATATACCTACATTACTAACTACTTCACACTAGATATGTTACCACTGATAGTTAACGTAAGAAAACAATAACTCTTCATTGCTTGAAGCACGTTACTTCGATAACACAAATCTTGACTTCTATTGACAAATCTTTACACGAAAACACGGACAGGTACATTGATTGTAGCGGTGGCGTGTTGAGGGACAGGTATATTATGGGGTAGGGGTTCATGTATGCTGCTCTGGGGGGGGGGGGCGTTAGGGGTAACCTGGAATAAAATGATCCCATGTCTCTTGTCTTGTTTACGTTGAATTTATTTTGTTTTGCTTTTTACTTGCCATGGACTATAAATCAATGTCTAAAATAAAACCATATGAAAGCTCCTATGTTAAATAACTGGTATGTCCTTGTGATTTTAAATTAGCTTGTAGCGACGTTGTCTTTTACCACATATCTCATTTAATTAGCGATGAATTTTTTTTTTCTAAATTCGGGGAGTGGAGAGGGGGCACCTTACACCTGTGCATGTACTGCTAACGCCCATGACTCCAGCACGAAAACCTGACAGCAACATGGAGCCTGTAGTGACGTAACATGGAGCCTGTAGTGACGTAACATGGGCGGTCCCCCACGTGACCGTCCATCAAACCGTGACCGGACTAATTAGCCAGGGTCACGTGGGTGACAGACATGGAACCTTGACCTCATCGTGACCCACTGGAACAGTTGGAAGACATAAATATGCAGAGACCATAATACGGACATGACGATAGTCTAATTAGAGTAATTAGCGTCACAGCATGTGTGGTTGTCTCGCCATTTGTTTTGTCAATATTCTTTAGATTACTCAACTCCATTGCTTCAATCAGATATCAGATATTTTTGGACTTCTTAATTGATAATTCATTCACAAAAACGTATTAATGTATCATTCCATCACAAGTATTAATTAGATCAACTTATGACCGTCAGTAATAAATAATAAAAATAAAAACAAAACTCATTTTTTAAAACCTTCAAAGATCACAAACTTAAAGCTGTAATAACTATTTTTGTGGCACTGTGTGGTCGGATATTAGCGCGCACGACTGCTAACCTAGACGTGTCGAGTTCGAATCCCGGGCTTGAGTCCCTGAGCCCACCCAGCTCTTATGGGTACCTGACTCGCATAAGGGAAAGTAAAGGCGGTTTGGCATAATTTTGACCGCGGTATCACTTCTTTATACCGAGGTCACTAAAAATGATGAACTCTACTGCATCTTCCCATTGACTCCCAAGTTCTAAAGTGTAACAATTTTTTTACAATTTCATTCGTCAGCGTGAATCTAGTCTTGTGAACAAACCTTATGTAAATGTATGCACAACCGTGTGCTTTTTCTATAACAATCCATTCGGCTTCACACGTCATTAGCTGCAGTGTTTCTTCCAGACTTTTTTCTCCGGGGGAGGGGGGGGGGGGTCGGGGGGGGGGGGGGGCACTTGAAATTTTCGGGGCGGGGGGGCGGTAGACTTTCTTTCGGGGGGGGGGGGCGGACACTGTTAATATTATATATTTTCTATATAAACTATATAAATTTCATTTCGTTCGGGGGGGGTGTGGGCGGTAGAATTTTTTCGCCCCCCCCCCCCCCCGAAGAGATGCCTGGAAGAAACTCTCATTAGCTGTGGGATACAAAGGTTAAGTTGCTAGACAAGCCCTAAGTGTCGAGATGGATTCACAGAATTAAATGAACGTTTGGGAATCTGAACGGAGTTGGAATCTAGTCAAAGTAAAGATGCTAAAGTAATTGAAACAACGAAATGTATTCATATAGAGAAAAGTTACCTACCTACGTCCAAAGACATAAACAGATTAGTAAATAACTAGATGTATTCATATCAACGAGCCGGCCCGCGGCATAACATACGCCGCTATTTAGTTGTTTCTAATTTTCAGTAATTCATAATTTGTGAATTCGACAGTACCAACGCTGACAATGAAAATATTTCTTTAAAACACTATAAGTAGCTCGTTAAGGACCATAACCCCCCCCCCCCCCGCTTCCTTCCCCCCCCCCCCCCCCCCCCCCTACGTTTAAAATCGTTGGCTCTGCTTGTAAACATTTAGAGTGAACACAGCTCACTAAAACCATGTAGGGGTGGGGAGGTAGGGAGAGCGTTTGCAGCTTGTTTTCTAACGGCTCGAAGAAGAGAATTATATATATAGATTATACAAGAGAGAAAAGTAACATAACTACGTTTAATAAACCGGGAGTGATCTCCCCTAAACTTTCTCGAATATTTCTTATATAACTTGGAATATAGACATGATTTTTAATTACTTAAACTTTTAAAAATAGAATAGAATCTCATAGAACAAAATAGTATTAGTACTTTATAAATTTACATGCGTTTTTTGAGAAATCGGAAATAGCGTAAATTAGTACTTCCAGTCAACGGAAATTACTCAAAATTTGAAAGAAGGTAGAGAATTAGATCTTTTACTTACATGTGAAATTTCATTTATCTATCTGAAATAGTACTCAAGTTATAGGCTTTTGAAAAATTCAAGTAGAAAAAGTACCACTTCCGGTTATCGAAAATCGCTCAAAAGTTGATCAGGATCTACGATTTTGATAAAATACTTATATATGGAATTTCATAAACCTAGCTGTAACGATACTCAAGTTATCGTGTTTACACACACACACACACACACACACACACACACAGACAAACACAGACACACAGACATACGGACAAGATTGCAAAATTATGTTTTTCCGTATCAGTGAGGTGTAAAACGTCGAGATTTGTAAAAAAATCTCTATTTTTTTTATTTATTTTTTTGCACGATTACAAGACTTTCTCTATACTTCGTATATACGAGGAAGTAAAAATATAAGCATACGCATTTTATGATAGAAATAACTAGATGTGTTTATATAGATAAGGGGTTGTCCATAAATGACGTCACACTCGAAGGGGGGAGGGGGTCCGTAATTTTGTGACGGTGTTTGATGAGGGGGGGGGGGAAATCATAAAAAAAAAGCGGGACGTCATGTATGGATGACCCCTAATACAAGAGAGAAAATTAAACTTCCTATGTTCAAAGATTTAAACAAGCGTAGTTAACGTTAGAAATTACGAGAAAAAAATTAACCTACCTACTGTCAAAGGAAGACATACGTAGTTTTTGATAAAGAGATTGCCCTTCCAATTCTCCGTTATGTAATTCTTAAAGCCTTACAAATCTTACCGCAAGCTACCTACACTACAAAGAAAACTTGGCGTACTAGGGTGTATACTTAGACAAAAGATGTAGTATCAAACAGTATCTGACACGCTAGATTTAACTCCAAACACCTAAAATAACACTGGGTAAGTGGAAGCAGTTAAATTTTCATGGCTAGATGATAGACTACATAAAAGAGAGGAGCACCGGAGGTACAATATAGAGGGTAGTTATATTTTATAGCTTTACAGCTACATAAGCCAATGTTTACAGCGCTGTTTTGTTGGAATTAGGCCTAGGTTTGCTGGAAGCGTAAACTACATACAACAAAAGCTTAGGTACTTTACGACGGGGGGAACATTTAGAGGTAACTGACGTGTACAGAACTTTCTCAAGGTCTCAATGGAATGGGGTCAGTAACGTGCCTAGCGGGGGTCGGTGGTGTCAGTGGCGTACCTAGTGGGCGTCAGTATCGAACCTAGCGGGGGTCAGTGGGGAACCTAGCGGGGGTCAGTATCGAACCTAGGGGGGGGGGGTCAGTGGCGTACCTAGCGGGGGTCAGTATCGAACCTAGGGGGGGTCAGTGGCGTACATAGCGGGGGTCAGTATCGAACCTAGGGGGGGTCAGTGGCGTACCTAGCGGGGGTCAGTATCGAACCTAGGGGGGGTCAGTGGCGTACCTAGCGGGGGTCAGTATCGAACCTAGGGGGGTCAGTGGCGTATCTAGCGGGGGTCAGTATCGAACCTAGGGGGGGTCAGTGGCGTACCTAGCGGGGGTCAGTATCGAACCTAGGGGGGGTCAGTGGCGTACCTAGCGGGGGTCAGTATCGAACCTAGGGGGGTCAGTGGCGTATCTAGCGGGGGTCAGTATCGAACCTAGGGGGGGTCAGTGGCGTACCTAGCTGGGGTCATTAGCGTACCTAGCGGGGGTCAGTTGTGTACTAAAGGGTCAGTGGCGAACCTAACGGGGGTCAGTGGCGTACCTAGCGGGGGTCAGTGGTGTACTAAAGGGTCAGTGGCGTACCTAAGGTGGGGTCAGTGGTGTACTAAAGGGTCAGTGGCGTACCTAAGGTGGGGACAGTGTACTAAAGGGTCAGTGGCGTACCTAGGGTGGGGTCAGTAGCGTACTAAGGGTCAGTAGAGTACCTAAGGTGGTGGCCGACTGAGGTCGCACTTGTTTATCTTAGTATATCCTTAAATTAAAACAACAAACCACCCATTATCACGTGAGATCTAAACAATAGCGAGCAACAAACCACACGCTAATAATAACCACTCACGATTATTATTCCGAATTTAAGTCCATAGAACGTCCCTGAGTCCACTCAGCTCTGTTGGGTACCTGACTCACGATCGGTAACGTACAGACGGCTGGACATAGTGCTGACCACACTATTTCCTTATATGCCGAGGTAACAGAAACACTTTCCCCATGATGGACCCTCAAAGAAAACAATAACAAACACCAAAACACATAATATTAAATAAGTTTATCTAAAACAAACACCTAAACAAACATCATATCATACCTAAACAATAGCAATAACAAGAGAGAATGAGTACTTACCTATTCACTGCTGTCAGGTAAATCAAGAAAGAATGTTGCACACACGTTTTTTTTCTACCCTTAACAATAGGTTATCTTTACGATACCCTAAGCTGTTGAATAATTTAACCCTTACGATTAACAACCGACAACTACATTACGCTTTGCTTGTCAAGAAAATTTGCATATGTAAGCTTTTTTAATTCACGATTAAACCCCCGCTGAGCTAGTTTATAGACAAGCGACTAGTATTGTAAGACAGCGGTAAAGCGGTATCAAGGTTATGGCATGACGTCACGACCTGATGTAATGTGAGACAAACGAGGCTACCTACACGAGATCTGCCCGACTTCTGCGAGATGTCTGCTGGGACGTTTTCAGTTTGTCGTGTTGGATGTTTGTCGTGCTGGATGTTTGTCGTGTTGGATATTTGTCGTGCTAGATGTATGTTTGTCGTGCTGGATGTACGTTTGTCGTGTTGCATGTACGTTTGTCGTGTTGGATGTACATTTGTCGTGTTGGATGTTTGTCGTGTCGGATGTACGTTTGTCGTGTTGGATGTTTGTCGTGTTGGATGTTTGTCGTGTTGGATGTTTGTCGTGCTAGATGGACGTTTGTCGTGCTGGATGTTTGTCGTGTTGGATGTACGTTGGTCGTGTTGGATGTTTGTCGTGTTGGATGTTTGTCGTGTTGGATGTACGTTTGTCGTGTTGGATGTACGTTTGTCGTGCTGGACGTACGTTTGTCGTGTTGGATGTTTGTCGTGTTGGATGTACGTTTGTCATGTTGGATGTACGTTTGTCGTGTTGGATGTACGTTTGTCGTGTTGGATGTACGGTTGTCGTGTTGGATGTACGTTTGTCGTGTTGGATGTACGTTTGTCGTGTTGGATGTACGTTTGTCGTGTTGGATGTACGTTTGTCGTGTTGGATGTACGTTTGTCTTGTTGGATGTACGGTTGTCGTGTTGGATGTTTTTCGTGTTGGATGTACGTTTGTCGTGTTGGATGTCTTTCGTGTTGGATGTACATTTGTCGTGTTGGATGTACATTTGTCGTGTTGGATGTACGTTTGTCGTGTTGGATGTAGGTTTGTCCTGTTGGATGTACGTTTGTCCTGTTGGATGTACGTTTGTCGTGCTGGATGTTTGTCGTGTTGGATGTTTGTCGTGCTAGATCTACGTTTGTCGTGCTAGATGTACGTTTGTCGTGCTAGATGGACGTTTGTCGTGCTGGATGTTTGTCGTGTTGGATGTACGTTTGTCGTGCTGGATGTTTGTCGTGCTAGATGTACGTTTGTCCTGTTGGATGTACGTTTGTCGTGCTGGATGTACGTTTGTCGTGCTGGATGTACGTTTGTCGTGCTGGATGTTTGTCGTGTTGGATGTACGTTTGTCGTGCTAGATGTACGTTTGTCGTGCTGGACGTACGTTTGTCGTGCTGGATGTACGTTTGTCGTGTTGGATGTACGTTTGTCGTGTTGGATGTACGTTTGTCGTGTTGGATGTACGTTTGTCGTGTTGGATGTACGTTTGTCGTGCTGGATGTATGTTTGTCGTGCTGATGTATGTCGTGCTGGATGTTTGTCGTGTTGGATGTACGTTTGTCGTGTTGGATGTACGTTTGTCGTGTTGGATGTACGTTTGTCGTGTTGGATGTACGTTTGTCGTGTTGGATGTACGTTTGTCGTGCTGGATGTATGTTTGTCGTGCTGATGTATGTCGTGCTGGATGTTTGTCGTGTTGGATGTACGTTTGTCGTGCTGGATGTTTGTCGTGTTGGATGTACGTTTGTCGTGCTGGATGTATGTTTGTCGTGCTGATGTATGTCGTGCTGGATGTTTGTCGTGTTGGATGTACGTTTGTCGTGCTGGATGTATGTTTGTCGTGCTGATGTATGTCGTGCTGGATGTTTGTCGTGTTGGATGTACGTTTGTCGTGCTGGATGTTTGTCGTGTTGGATGTACGTTTGTCGTGCTGGATGTTTGTCGTGTTGGATGTACGTTTGTCGTGCTGGATGATTGTCGTGTTGGATGTACGTTTGTCGTGCTGGATGTACATTTGTCGTGCTGGACGTTTGTCGTGCTGGATGATTGTCGTGTTGGATGTACGTTTGTCGTGTTGGATGTTTGTCGTGCTAGATGTACGTTTGTCGTGCTGGATGTTTGTCGTGTTGGATGTACGTTTGTCGTGCTGGATGTTTGTCGTGTTGGATGTACGTTTGTCGTGCTGGATGTTTGTCGTGTTGGATGTACGTATGTCGTGTTGGATGTACGTTTGTCGTGTTGGATGTTTGTCGTGCTAGATGTACGTTTGTCGTGCTAGATGTACGTTTGTCGTGTTGGACGTTTGTCGTGTTGGATGTTTGTCGTGCTGGATGTTTGTCGTGTTGGATGTTTGTCGTGTTGGATGTACGTTTGCTGGATGTACGTTTGTCGTGTTGGATGTTTGTCGTGTTGGATGTACGTTTGCTGGATGTTCGTTTGTCGTGCTAGATGTACGTTTGTCGTGCTGGATGTTTGTCGTGCTGGATGATTGTCGTGTTGGATGTACGTTTGTCGTGTTGGATGTTTGTCGTGCTAGATGTACGTTTGTCGTGCTGGATGTTTGTCGTGTTGGATGTACGTTTGTCGTGCTGGATGTTTGTCGTGTTGGATGTACGTTTGTCGTGCTGGATGTTTGTCGTGTTGGATGTACGTATGTCGTGTTGGATGTACGTTTGTCGTGTTGGATGTTTGTCGTGCTAGATTGACGTTTGTCGTGCTAGATGTACGTTTGTCGTGTTGGACGTTTGTCGTGTTGGATGTTTGTCGTGCTGGATGTTTGTCGTGTTGGATGTTTGTCGTGTTGGATGTACGTTTGCTGGATGTACGTTTGTCGTGTTGGATGTTTGTCGTGTTGGATGTACGTTTGCTGGATGTTCGTTTGTCGTGCTAGATGTACGTTTGTCGTGCTGGATGTTTGTCGTGTTGGATGTTTGTCGTGCTGGATGTTTGTCGTGTTGGATGTACGTTTGTCGTGTTGGATGTGTGTCGTGTTGGATGTACGTTTGTCGTGTTGGATGTACGTTTGTCGTGTTGGATGTACATTTGTCGTGTTGGATGTACGTTTGTCGTGTTGGATGTACGTATGTCGTGCTGGATGTACGTTTGTCGTGTTGGATGTACGTTTGTCGTGTTAGATGTACGTTTGTCGTGTTGGATGTACGTTTGTCGTGTTGGATGTACGTTTGTCGTGTTGGATGTACGTTTGTCGTGTTGGATGTACGTTTGTCGTGTTGGATGTACGTTTGTCGTGTTGGATGTACGTTTGTCGTGTTGGATGTACGTTTGTCGTGTTGGATGTACGTTTGTCGTGCTGGATGTACGTTTGTCGTGTTGGATGTACGTTTGTCGTGTTGGATGTACGTTTGTCGTGTTGGATGTACGTTTGTCGTGTTGGATGTACGTTTGTCGTGTTGGATGTACGTTTGTCGTGTTGGATGTACGTTTGTCGTGTTGGATGTACGTTTGTCGTGTTGGATGTACGTTTGTCGTGCTGGATGTACGTTTGTCGTGTTGGATGTACGTTTGT